CTCACACCTTGTAGACTCGTGCAGGTTATCATTTTGTGTGTGTGTGTGTGTGTGGGTGTGTGTGTGTGTGTGTGTGTGTGTGTGCGTGTGTGTGCGTGTGTTTGTGTGTGTGCGTGTAACGAAATAACGTATACAAATAGCTTGGCAATTCTCATGGTTATGAGATACAATGTGAAAGGAAATGAGAGAATAATGGTCGCGTAGCTTAAATCAAAGTTCCCCATTGCAGTCCTCTCTTTTTGGATATTTTTGCATTTTGTTTTGTAAGAGGCGTAGCGCCAGAAGAAAGAAGAGGAAGAAGAAAAGAAACGTGTGAAGAAGGAGATCGGGGGGAGGCGAAAGGGCCTTGCCTCCCAGGCTGTTGCACCCCCCCCCCCAAAAAAAAAAATAAGAGAGAAGGAAGGAAAGGGAAAGGGTAAGAGGAGATAAAGAGAAGGAAAAAGAGGAAGAAGAAAAGAAAAGAAAGGGGATATCATTTGCAATTTTCCCGCCGGTGGATCGAGGAGGGGAAAAAAGGCCCTTACCGCCCCCGCCCCCGCTATAACAAAGAGAGAAAGAAGGAAAAGAGAAAGAGGAGAGCTAAAAGGGAACAAAAAAGAGGAAGAAGAAAAGAAAAGGTTGAAAAGAACGGGAGATCAGTTTCGGTTAATCCCGCCAACAACGTGTGGATCGGGGTGGGGGCCGAAAGGCCCTTGCCCCCCCCCCCTCGGCAAACCTTAAGGAGGAGAGAAAAAGAAAGAAGAAAAAAGAGAAAGAAGAAAGGGGGCACTGGCGTACTGATGGGGGGGGGGGGGGGCTTGGGGGAATTCAAATTCGAACGTGGTTTATTTCTAATTCCATTACGGTGGCTTACAAATAATGCTGAATTCATTCCGAGATTTTTCCTCAGTTTTTAGTAAATTATACTTTTGTATGCGTTTGTTGGAAAATGACAAATTCCTAAATTTACAGCCAGACAAAAAAAAATTGATTCTTGAGAAAAGTTGGGGCCCGGGGATCGGCTGAAATCGCAGGCCTCGAGCTCCCCCCCCCCCACACTTTTTTTTGAAAAGGTATAGTAAAATAGAAATAAAGAGAGCAAGAAAGAAAGAATAGTTAACTAGCTGCTCATCTGACCGAAATTAAACGCCTAAAATACCCTGAGCTTCCGGGGTTCTGTCCCCTGCACCCCGTCTAGAGCCCTAGACTCCCCTGGATGCTAATCTGACGGAAATGTAATGCCTAAAACCCCTGTTTTTCTGGGGGCTTCGCCCGCTGGACCTCACGCCAATTAGTGTCCTGCCAGTGTCACAAATAAGGTATAAAAATATGTTTATCTGACCGTAATCAAATGCCTTAAACCCCTTTTCTGGGGGCTTCGGCCGCTGCAGTGGACCTCACGCCAATTAGTGTCCTGCCAGTGTCACAAATAAGGTATAAAAATATGTTCATCTGACCGTAATCAAATGCCTAAAACCCCTGAGCTTCCCGGGTCGGACAAGGTATCAAAATTTTATCTGACCGCAGGCGCGTAGCCAGGGGGGGGGGGGGGGGGGGTAGAAAAAAAATAGAGAGGAGAGGAAAGGAAGAGGACGTAGGGAGAAAAAGGAGCAGACAAAAAATATCTTTGAAATTCAGACAAGAATTAAGAGTATAGAAAACGGTACAACGAATCGTCTTCTATCTCTAATAATTTAATGAAACGTCAAAGCTTCCGCGCTTCGCGGAGGGGGGGGGGGGGGGACTGAATTAAGAGTATAGAGAACGGTACAACGAATCGTCTTCTATCTCTAATTTTTTAATGAAACGTCAAAGCTTCCGCGCTTCGCGGAGGGGGGCTGAATTAAGACAAGGATTAAGAGTCGAGAACGATACAACGAATCGTTTTCCTTCTCCGATGATTTAATGAAACGTAAAAGCTTCCGCGCTTCGCGCAAGAGGGAGGGAGGGGGGGGGGGGACTGAATTAGGACAAGGATTAAGAGTCGAGAACGGTACAACGAATCTTTTTTTTTCGTCAATGATTTAATGAAACGTAAAAGTTTCCGCGCTTCGCGCAAGAGGGAGGGAGGGGGGGGGGGGGGGACTGAATTAAGACAAGGATTAAGAGTCGAGAACGGTACAACGAATCGTTTTCTTTCGTCAATGATTTAATGAAACGTAAAAGTACAAGGTTTTTTTGTTGATTCATGTTCTAGATGGGTATTGAAATAAATTCAGCTTGGTTGCCAGCTCGGCAACCTTAAGCAACTTTTTTATAGCCTAATTAGCATAATCATCTGCAATATGTAATAATGTTGCTAATCTCAATTCAGGAAGCCTGAAAACATGGGTAATACGACTTTTCAAGGGTTTTCTATGACGAGGAATTCATTTATGACACCAGTTTTTATTTTTAAGTAATGCAATTGTCTTAAATATCATAATTAGCACAATGAGCTAATTAGGATATGTTCAATATATGGACTTCATTGTCATTGTTTATCTATAGAGCCTGAAAATGGTGCAATGCATCATTGTAAATCACTTTTGAATGACGACACATTAATTTCATGTGGGTATAGTATAATTTTCCAAATTAGCATAACAATCCAAATAGCATATATTATTATGTGCAATTTGTAGGCCTAATAATGTTGCTAATCTTAGTTTAGGAAGCCTGAAAACATGGATAATATGACTTTTCCAGGGTTTTGCATGGCGAGGATTTGATTTATGACACCAGTTTTTATTTTTAAGTAATGCAATTGTCTTAAAAAAAAATCATAATTAGCCTAATGAGCTCATTAGCATATTGACAATATATGGACTTCGGTCATTGTTTATGTAGAAAGCCTGATTGTTGATTGGTCTTTTATGTTCAACCCAACCATTGAGAGTGTTGCAGTACTTTTTTCATACAGTAATGTGTAGGAAAGCCCAAATCGCCTGGATATGCAATTTAGCCTTTTTACTAAGTTAATTAAAAGTAACCTCTCTACAAATGTAAATCAAAATTTTGATAATTAGATATGTACACAAATTAGATGAAATTGATAAATGCACTTATATACTTACTGCATCATCGTCCTTGGTTGAAGAGATGAACGCCTCGCCATGAAGGCCAATAGAACAGTTATGTTTGCAGGTTTGGTTTAGGCTTCCTAGATTTAGGTTGATAATTGATGTTCTACAAATATGCTAATTAGGCTTATTATATAGTACAATAATTACATATTACATCAACTGCATTACTTAAAAATAAAAACTGGTGTCATAAATGAATCCCTCGTCATGAAATACCCTGGAAAAGTCATATTATTCATGTTTAAGGCTTTTGTGATTAAGATTAGCATCATTATAACATATTGCACATATATAATTATACTAATTAGATTATTAGGCCTAATTAGACTAATTATACTATATCTACATGTAATATCTTCTCATGACTTAATGTGTCGTCTTTCAAAAGTGATTTACAATGTTGCATTGCACCATTTTCAGGGTTTATAGATAAACAATGACAATGAAGTCTATATTTTTAACATATCCCTATTAGCTCATTATGCTATTTAAGACAATTCCATTACTTACAAATAAAAACTGGTGTCATAAATGAATTCCTCGTCATAGAAAACCCTTGAAAAATCGTATTATCCATGTTTTCAGGCTTCCTGGATTGAGATTAGCAACATTATTACATATTGCACATATGATAATTAGATGATTATGCTAATTAGGCTATAAAAAAAGTTGCTCAAGGTTGCCCAAGGTTGCCAAGCTGGCAACCAAGCTGAATTTACTTCAATACCCATCTAGAACACGAATCAACAAAAAAACCTAGTACTTATAAACTTTTCCAGGTCATGTACATGGTCTATGGTACCGTCTACTGGACTATTTAATGAAACGTCATATATATATAGCTTCCGCGCTTTGCGGAGTAGGGAGGGGGAAACTCGCCCCTCCCTACATCCCCCTGCATTATGTCACTGCTGGTCACCATTACGTACCAATATTTGGCTCGCATAATTTCAAATTTGGGCCCCCCCCTAAGAAATCCTGGATCCGCGCCTGTTCATTTCAACCACACAAATGGTTTTGAAACCACTATTATAGATGTTGAAGCCACAATAGATCTGTCTTGACCACATGGAGGTAGTATTGTATACCCTACCCCAGTCACACGACCGATGCTAAAAAAATGACGTTTCTTCCTATGGCAAAGAATCGTTCGGTCTGGCGACGGTTTTGAGTCTAAGATATTATTGATTGAAATGATTTTAAAACTAATTAAGGCGATTTGTATTAACGATTTTGTTGATTTTTGTTGTTGACTTGATGTGAGATAATGCGGCATCCGCCAACCATCCAAGCCCTCCCCTATATTAAAGGTAAAGACCAGTAATGGTCATGCGATTGCATTGTGAAAGAAACGTTGTGGAATCGATCAGAAAAGGTTGATCATCTAGCATCTAGCATCTGCAAGGTTCTGGAATCATCAAAATTATAAGAAATTTGGCCAATTCTTCGTAAAGTTACAAGCACTATACACAGAAAGATGTATATGGGACTACCCTATCTCTCTCACCAGACCATGAGAGAAATAAGTTTACCAAATATATGAATTAGTAGGCGGTTTCCCGGCAAATTTTTTATCATCATGTATTAGTCAAAACATATTCTTTCACATGATTGGTAATGAGAGCTTCCATTTCATTTTTTGAAATTGGGGCGTTGCCAATACTGGTCTTTACCTTTAAGCATCAGTTCATGAAAGGAAATGTTGGCCTCGCGCCTCACAATTACCATTCATGTCTTTAGTGACCCCCATCATAATCCATCTCCGATAAGAGATGACTCCGCTTCGAAGCCGTGTAATGCATGCACCCTTTCAGGAAAATCATCAATACGTGAAAACTAATGATAGCGGAAGAGGATTTGGTAACCGTATGTGCTTTCATGCAGAGCATCTTTAGACGCCAGTCACCGCACGTAAACAATGCACCAGTACCAGCAGTGCACCGCTAGCTCAGCAATACCACTACCTTACGATTCCACATCCACTTACCTATAAACATCACGACATCACGAGATAAATGCTATAGAGGAAAATGATTTCTTCGAAATACTTCAGGAAACAGTTTCTACAAGCATGTTCGTGAAGGGAGCATTAACAGTTGTTGTCATTTTGACATGTTTGACTCATATTTCTAGCGTGTCACTGCCTTATTCAAAGACAAAAAGGGATGATGGAGCTAAAACTGAGAGGAGTTTCAAGGACGTTTCGCCTGGTAGAGGTAGAGCGAGCGAGCGGAAGCTGGACGGAAACCCAAGCCGAACTGTGCCGTCGCAAGGGTCTATACGCTCCGCTGCTCGAGGTCTCGGCGTCGGGCGGAAGAAATCTGGAAGACGTGCATCTCGACGTGATATTTTTGTTGATTTCTACGGAGCTAAAAATGTTAAACCTGCATCATATCGTCATGATGATAACATGGATGATGTGGATGACGATCGATGTTCACAATATGTGAGTAGATTTTTAAATACTTAAAATATAAACTTTTAACTGTTAAGTCAAGAATAAACTTCATCTGTTCATAAACTCAAACTTAAAGTCTAGTTTTTTAGCTTTGGGGGTTTGGATTTGCAAAAGTGCTAATTATATCATGTGATTTTATCTGTGTCATTTCTCTCCTCCAGAGCACTTTCTGAGCTTTCCAAAACAGTAGTTTCTTGTTTGGCTTTTTGGGGGTCTTTTAAGTTTTTTTAAAACTTACAACATTTTACATTGGTTGGTTCATTGACGATGTTGCCCTTTTCCCTTCATACCAAGCTATTGTTGTTATTGTGTTGAAGTACAAACTCAACTTTTTACCCTGTACATTGGTAGGTTCTAGCCTGATGTAATCATTATTATATAGAATTCATAAGCTGCAAAGTACAATTTTATGTGGGTTCATTTTTGCTGCAAAGTTGTTGTTGTTATTTGTCACAGGCCTGTTTCACACACAAATTATCTCCTCAGCTCAGTGTTCTCTCGATCGATACGTCTGTTACAAGACTAAGTTAATGATCTACTAGGTTAAGTAAAAGGAAAACATTTATTTTCTCACTTAGTGGTCTATAGAGTACCAAAGCTGTGACGTCATAAAAATCAATTTTTGGAATTTCTCAATTTTTTCTTCATTTTCCGAAAGAACATACAAAATAATGTCCAAATGTCGAAAACCAATTGAATATGTTAAGTATTGGTTGACATATGACCATCTGAATAAGTATACTCCCCATAGGAACTCAGTGATATATCCTCTGGCTCCTAATGGTTATGAGCCAGAGCATATAACACTGCGGTCCCACAGGACATATTCATTCAGATGGTCATATCTCAGCCAATACTTAACATATTCAATTGTTTTTCGACATTTAGACATTATTTTTGATGTTCTTTCAGAATATGAAGAAAAAAATTGAGAAATTCTGAAAATAGATTTTTGATGACGTCACACTTCACCACTCTATTGTGGGGGAGGTTCAACGGAAAACGGGGGGGGGGGGGGGGGGGGGGGGGGGGGTGAAGGAGGAGGTCAGGGGGAAACTACTTTTATAAATGTAGAAACAAAGAAATAATAACTTTACCCTTTCCAAGCCTTTCACATTTCAACCACCCAGTATGACTTAATGTAAGTAACTATTCCATTTTGCCCCCTTTTCATCACTTCCAGTAAGGGTCATTAGGAACTTCATGTATGTACACTTAAATAGATTTAATTGGGGGTATAACCATAAATAAGAATTTACCTGGTATATACATGTTCATGGTAGGTTTATTCACATTGTACATGTATATGTAGGTTCTACCGTGTTTTAGACAATTTAATCATGTCAGTTTTTCGAAATGTACATTGAGATGTGAATTGTTTGAATTGCAATCTTGAGCGTTAAGGATACCATTTTATTATGTTGACACGGGACTCATGAGTGAATAAACTTTAAAGGTACTATGTCCCATTTGCAGGCCCAAAAAATGAAAAAAGTTAAATTCCAACTGCATTTAAAAGATAATACTAATTGAGAACTTCCCTAAAAAAGGTGGGGCTTAAAAATGTGTTCAAGTGGGAAAATAACGACTATTAGCTGTCAAATCGACTTTAGGGCTATAGAGCCCAAAAGTAATAGTCTTGATTTTCAGACAGTTGTAACGAATACGTTTTATGCTGCGCAAAGATTCAATCAGTTTAATCTTGGCCATCACAAGAAGTGGGTTATTGATGTAGACAAATGCTCATGTACCCATTACAACTCTGTTCATGTATGTTATTACCAAAGAAGAAAAAAGGCCAGTCAGTCACTCAATAGTGTCTGACAGTGAAGTCTAGCAAGTAAACTGGTTTCCTTGCATAATTTGAATATGAGGACACTGCTAACGTTTAAATTTCACAGATAGGACATACATGTCATATTCATAATTCCTGCAAAGTTCTACAGAATTTGAGGTTGGCTGTTAAAGGGACATAGTACCTTTAAGTTAGCCAAACCTTGAAGTCATAAACAACGATCCACTAACAATGACACACGGACCCGAAGAAATAAGTTATAAATAAAATAACCTCTAAGTTACATGTAATTGCATCTGCACTGCACGTACATGTAACTTGAGTGAGACCCCCCCCCCCCCCCCCCTTCGCTGCTAGCCTTAAAGTGACTCGGAAACATTGCCTCAGATTCTGAAACAAAATCCTGGATTTAGCTCATAATTATAAACCTTTACCTCAGTCAGGAATCCCATGACTTTGATTGAAATTGAAATTTCATTTTTTGTTTTCCTAACGGCTTTTATAACACTAACAAAATTAGTATGGTAAAACTGGTCACTCAAAATTTTTTACTTTTTCGAGGCACTTCTTGATCATTTTGAAGCGCAATTTTTTTAGGGCTTGAATATTACACTATATATCAAGTTGAAGTAGGGCCATACATCTCAGATTTAACATCGTTAAATGATACCTTTAAACTAGCTAAACTTAAGCTTTGGTATAATAATAATAGTGTAATAATAATGTAAACTTATAGAGCGCACACATCGTCAAGGGACGCTCATGGCGCTAGCTCAGCATTAGTTCTCTTTGATACAAGTAAAGTAAATTTTTATTAATAGAGTTGTACCATTAGAAACTCATAAACAATTTGTCAACATTACAATTTTGTATCACCCATTTCAATCCTCAGCTCTGTATTGCATAGTATTTCAAGAGAACATGTCTATAATTCATTCTGAATTGTTTATGATGCAGTAGATTGATTATTTGAACTACTAGTAAAATAAAAACAGACTCACAAAAAGCTGGAAATCAATCAAATCATGTTCAATGAAAACCACAATTCTCATTTGCTCATAGTGACCTGTGTTAAAGGTCCACTGCACTACTTCTTCACTACCTCTATATAACAAACAATGCCTAATCGGTGACCATTGGTCCCCCATGATCCTCTTTTTCTTATGTTAACTGAGAGCTGAGTTGATGAGATAACCACCTGTCCAGTGACCTTGCAGGGCAGTCTAATCCCTCCTGTAAACTACGGCAGATAAGCTTTAAGCACATGGTGTTGGGTAATTTCAAGTTAAAGGTAAAGACCAGTTATGGTCATGCGATTGCATTGTGAAAGAAACGTTGTGGAATCGATCAGAAAAGGTTGATCATCTAGCATCTAGCATCTGCAAGGTTCTGGAATCATCAAAATGATAAGAAATTTGGCCCATTCTTTGTAAAGTTACAAGCACTATACACAGAAAGATGTATATGGGACTACCTTATATCTCTCACAGACCATGAGAGAAACAAATTTACCAAATATATGAATTAGTAGGGGGTTTCCGGCAAATTTTTTATCATCATGTATTGGTCAAAACATATTCTTTCACATGATTGGTAATGAGAGCTTCCATTTCATTTTTTGAAATTGGGGCGTTACCAATACTGGTCTTTACCTTTAACTAATCTAGGTTTCTAACCATGAGTGTGTCAGCAATCTCAGCATGGTCCCTAAAAATGATATAAATTCAAAGTTTAACTTTAAACCACTAGCTAAACTTAAAAAGAATGGACGTTCATGAGAACCTCACTTTTGATAGCCTCAGTCCTCAGAAAAGAAAAATGAGTCGGCGAAAAGTTATTGAGCATTGAAAGACATTTAAAAGAGGAATTTCAGACTGCACACTGGCATCAAGTTAGCTTTTATGAAAATACGAATTCAAGAGATCAGTGACGGTTTGATCTGATAGAAAAGGTTGTGCTTTTGAAAAAAAGACGAAGTATAATTATCAACTCTTCTTGAGCATATCTCTGATTTGTTGTTTATTAAAAGTTTCTTCTTTTTTTTTCCAGAAGAAATTGGACAGTTGTTTTAACATGCATGTACACAACCTGTGTAAACAAATTAAGATCTACCAGTATTTTTTCATCAGCACCCAGTTGATATTACTGTACATTTTGTTAAGAAATTTAGGCCCTATTGAATTTTAGACAAAAAATCCTGTGTTTGCAGTTTTTATGGTCATGTGGGACATTGGTTTTATATTTCAAAGCTTTCACTCATTCACTTTTGAAAGATAAATATGATCATATTTATTTTTGAAAGGCAAATAGATTGTTCACTGCCTGTCTTACAGAGTGTATTTGCATTTGAAAAATTGAACGATTGTCTGCATTCAACTTTTTGACTGGTAAGACCCTCTATAGAAACAGACTGTCAGTTGGAATGTACCATGCCATTTCTCATGATTAATTTTTGATTTTCTGATTTTTTAAAACCCAAGTGGCTTTTTCATTGTGCATGTATTGACTTGTCAATAGACAATTCTTATTCACTGGAGTCTTATTCATTATTATTTTAAAGTAATATTTCTGATATTTTAACTTATTCTCTTGAGCTCATTTATAGTATTCAAGAGCTCTTTCTAGATCTTCCCTGTCTGTCTCTTTGTCTCTCCCTCTCTCTCTCTCTCTCTCTCTCCCTCTCTCTCTCTCTCTCTCCTCTCTCTCTCTCTCTCTCTCTCTCTCTCTCTCTATATATATATATATCTCTCGTTATCTATCTCTCCCCCTCTCTTTGAATTTCTCTTTATCTTTCTCTCTCTCTCTCTCTCTCTGACTTTCTCTTTCTTGCCCTCCCCTCTCTGTGTCCCTTTTCTCTCGTTCTCCCTTTCTCTTTCTCCATCTACATGTATATCTATGTCTATATCTCTCTTAATATATTTGTCCCTATTACCGTATCTCTTTGTATTATGCCTTACGTTAAAATACAGTTCTAAAAGTTATGAAGCATTTTTTTTTTTGGGGGGGGGGGGGGGGGGGTTGGTTCTGTTTTTCAGTTTTAAAATGATTTCTTTTTTAAAAAGCTTTTTTATTAGTTAAACAAACACCATTAACAATATTTGTATTTTTATGTACAGACTGAAGACTGGTCAGTAGATAGTGACTTGATGGAGCATCTAATTGGCATCCTATTGACTGGCGAAATAGGTCAAAACCATGGTAAGTTTATAGGCAATCATCGCAGTAATACTACTACATGTAGATGAGGGCGAATTGCCGTTTCATTTCTAATTCTTTTCAAGATTCAAGATTCAAGATAATTTATTGTCATGTAAAAGATACATAAAATTTGCCTTCGGACATTTAAAGGTGCTATACATGTACATAAATATATAAATAGAGACAAAATAATTACATTTCAACATAACATTTAACAATCATCACAATTTTAAGGAAGGTTTCATTAAAAGAATAAGATAAAACATTTCTACACCCATATGGTCTACAACTATAGGGTCTACAACCATATCGTTCCTATTGTCATGAAGTGACGGTAGTGAGGGAAATCTGCACGCACATTGTATGCGATTTTCATTCACTACCGTCACTTTGTGAAAATAGGAACGATATGGTCTACACCCATATGGTCTATACCCAGCCCTTCTACAATCCAGATGGTTCAATAATCATTTTGTCTATTTATCATTTGTTCTAATTTCCATTTGGTCTGATCTCCAATAAGTCTACTACCAGATTGGTCTATTGTTCATCTAGTATAATAACCAGTTAGTCTAATTCTCAGTTGGTCCAATGCCCATTTCTTCTACTATCCATAAGGTCTAATAATAATTTGATGATGATTATTGTTTATGATTAAATGACCGTTATACCATATGGATAGTAGACAAAATCCTACTATCCATAAGGTCTAACTCTAATAATAATTTGATTATTATTATTATTTATGATTAAATGACTATTATACCATATGGATAGTAGACAAAATAGGCATTAGACAAACTGGGAATTAGACCGATTAGAAATAAGACTAAATGAGTCATAGACCAAATGGGTAGTAGACTTATTACAGATTGGACCATATGATTATTAGCCTAAATGGTCATTAGACCAAATGAAAAGTGATTTTTTAACCATATATGGCTATTAGACGGGCTGGGTGTAGACCATATGGCAAAAAACAGTAGATGAGGAGCAGAGACAATTGGCATGTATAATAAGGCATGTCATGTATAACGCAGTCAACCACTTTTCTTCAAACTGTTAATGAAGCAAGGAAGGAACTTATTGATATATGAAAAAGAAAAATGGTCCAAAGAATCATGCAATTGATGAATGAATAAATGAGTTTTTAATGAATGGCTGGGTGAATAGAATACAAGAATAAATGAGGAACAGTTTGTTTAATGACTCAATTAATGAACAAAAATAAATAAATGAATGAATGAGAAAGGAATGTGAATAAATAAACTGTATGAGTTCTGAATGAATGGCTGGGTCAATAGAATACAAGAATAAATGAGGAACAGTTTGTTTAATGACTCAATTAATGAACAAAAAATAAATAAATGAATGAATGAGAAAGGAATGTGAATAAATAAACTGTATGAGTTCTGAATGAATGGCTGGGTCAATAGAATACAAGAATAAATGAGGAACAGTTTGTTTAAAGATAAACTTGAGTTCTGGTAATGCGATTGCATTGTGAAAGACAAGGTGTGGAATGGATCAGAAAAGTTGATCATATAGCATGTAAGTAATGGTGTGTAATGCAAGGTTCTGGAGTCGTCAAAATCATCATAAATTTGGCAGAGTCTTGGTAAAGTAACAATCACTTACACAGAAAGATGTATATGGGACAACACACATGGTGTCGGGGCTAGTACTACCCAGATTTCCGTATCTTTCTATGCTCATTACTCAGCCAGTATACATTTTCTTCCAAAATTGTTTGGCACATGACATTTATTTGTAATCTTGAACATTCAGTGTAAATTTTGTTAAATTCTGTGAGAATTCATTTTCTTTTTTTTACCAGAACTCAAGTTTATCTTTAATGACTCAATTAATGAACAAAAATAAATAAATGAATGAATGAGAAAGGAATGTGACAGCAAATAAATAAAACGTTATCCATGCCAAGATTGGAAAGGAAGGGAAAATATGCAACAACCCAAAAAATTGATTTAAAAAAACAATAAAAAAACTGTCTCCTTTCAGAAAATAAAATGAATCCAGGAATGGTGGCTGGCCACAACTTCATGCATACCCTAGCATCAGTGACCAGGCATGGTGCATTCCTAGAGATAGGAACTGGGGTCACCAGTCTCTACATGTCTGGCAGTCAAAAGATGAAGAGTTTGGTTACTACACTCATCATACCAGGTAAGAATCAACCCTACTTTAGATCAACGATTAGGCCTAAACAAAAACATGTGGATTGCCCTGTGCGACTGACCCCAAAATCTTGAAATCTACGGTCGGCTTTTTTTTAAAGTTTTTTTTTTACTGTTTTTTAGAGAAAAAAGTATTGAAGCATTCAAAACTGAAAAATATCAGCCTAAAGAGGGAGTAAACAAAAAAAGAAGAAAAGATTTCTTACCGACCGATCCATGTTTTGGCACCTAAAGGGCAATACATCATATTTTTTTGTTAGGGCCTTATGATGCAAAGAGCATCCAAACCTTGGTAATATTAATGTGTGTGTAAGCAGAATCTTGTAATTGTAAAGTGCTAAAGAATATACCTACAATGTACCTTCAACTTTTCAATAGGCGCATTCAAAACCTCCCCGCCCCCCCTCCTCGTTTTGTTTTGTTTGTCAATGAATGGCAAATACAGCCAACAAAGGTCCTACACATTAACTTCTACAGCTCTGTGTAATATAAAGGTGAAGGGTATTACACCTACATCGTCTTTGAAAAAAAATTAGACCGAAAATTTGATATAGTTATGGTAATCAGGCTCTCATATTTGAACAAGACTTTATAGCCTTTTATAGAACAATAGAAGTGAAACATCATGTTTGATATCATTAGAATTTTATGTTTATTTTTACAGTCTTCATAGTTTTACAATCTAGTTTCACATACTAGTAAAACGTTATAGCGCTGTAGTTTTGTCTAGTAACTCTCTTTTTTGGTCTCTCTGTGAATAAATTAACAGGTATATTGAGAGTCTGATTACTGTGTCAAAAGAAGTATATATAATTTTTCAATCTTAGAGAAAATTGTGTAGGTTTTGGGTTTGACAATTTTCATATTATTTTCGAATTGTGGAAAGTGTAACAATTCAGTTTTTACACATTTTCATGTACCGGTAGCTCAAATCTTTCCAATTCAAATGTACAGTACCTTTTCTTCCTTGCATTTTATTACAGAAACTCAGGAATGATTTTTTTCTATACACAATACAACCACTTCCATTGTGTCAAAAACATTCCTGTCTTTGATTAACAAAATCATAATTCAATACCATGCCAAAGTTTTTGCAATGACGAACCTTCGTCATTGCCTTGTTTTCGTTCACATTCTGCCCCATTAATATTCTTATCGTCCAAAAATCACATTCGTTTTGCACGTAGTGTTTGTTATTCCTAGTTAGGTGCTTTCCTCATGTCCTTTTCATTTCAAATTTCATAGACATAGTCTCTAGCATCTCATCAAGGTCACCTACTTTTTCGATTTTTGAAATCACTCATGCATAACCGTCCAGACGCCATTTTGTCCGTTTCTGGTCCATTTTAAGGCCTTTCTTTCTTCCTTCTCATCTCCACTATCCTAGATCCTACAAACTTCTAACAAATTCCTCTAGATAGTCTGAGAGATGTTCTTTCATCTGCGACATATGACTTGACCTTTAAAATGCCATCTTCGTACTCAAAATTTAAATCTGAAACTGACTCCGTCAAAAATATCTCAAATTCTTGAAAAATGGACCCCTAAAAATCTAAAACTGCCCTAACTTTCTCATATAAACTCCGTTTTGTGTTTAAATCTTACATTATCCTTATCTCATAATTGCACATAGCCATGCCAAATTTCATGCTCCAATGTCTATGCAAAACATAAATAGCGCCCTCTAAATTTCTGGGAATTGGCTTTCTTTCTGTGGCCGTATCTCCATAATGGCTTGGCAAACCCGTACCCTTTTTTGGATTTAGATACTTGAAGATATGCCCTTTCCAGCCATATACAAAATTATATACCCTAACACTGACCAAATTTGAGAAAAATGCCCTCCAAATTCGCCATTTTCGAGAAAATTCCAAAATAACTTCAACTTGCTCTAAAATAGCGATCTTTATACCTATATCAATGAAACTTGGCAGATATATGTATCCATATAAGTGACAACTGTCTGCCAAGTTTAGTAAAATTTTAATATGTCAGCACAAAGTTATCGCCAAAAATGATGAATTTGCTATGCATTACGTAATAGCGCCTATAATGCGTGCAGTACATTGCGCGCAGATGACAATGGTGTTAAACTGACCACAATGAAGTGCCCTTTCGAATGATCCCAAGTATGGTATATGTTCACATAGAAAATTTTGAGTAAATCACATTTGAATAAGGGTCACTATACGCTTTCCGCCCAATATTATAACACGTATCGGCTAAGACGGCATTTCTCAGACTTTTTTTCGCCCCCTAAACATCCTTTTTTTTTCTTAAAATTTTGCAGTGACATTTAGAGTTGCAGTACGCAGGGCACCTCGTGGCCGGATTTTTGAAATTGGTCGAGGGGGTCATTAAAGACGCCATTTTGTACTATAAATCTATTTTACATCACGTGTTTCGATTGGTTTCTCATAGAAAAAAAGAGAGTGGTTTACAATAACAACCATGAAATTCTCTTTCCAATGATACCAAATACGGCCCATTAAGAGACATCAAGAGAGAGAGAAAAAACAATTTAACTCCGGTCATAATACAGATCCTGTACGTTTTCCGCCCATGCATTACACGCATTGTCTATGGGACATATCGGGTTCACGCTTTTGGCTCCCAGAACGATCTTTATTGCAATGACGAACATGCACCAAATCCCGTTGGTTTTTGCACGCATTGCTTGCGAGCCCTTTCTAGGTTCTTTCCCTATCCCAATTTCTTTCAAACTTCGTAGGCATAGCCACTACCATCCCATCAAGGTCACTGTTAAGGCGTTTCTTTCGCCCTACCTATCTCCAATATCACATAAGCTACAGACTTCGTACGAATTGCTCTGGATAGTCCGAGAGAAGCTCTTTCGTTTGACACGTAGAAACATGGCGTCATTGCACGCACATCGTTGTGACACGATTGCATTTCTAGTTTTCTCTTGGTATTATCAGTTTTATGCTCCGTATCATTTATTAAAAAATAAAAAATAAATCTGTTTTGGAATTTGAAGAGACACCATATGGCATACAGCATTTGGACTTTGTAAAACTCTATTCAACATGCATCAATCAGGCTGTCAAGTTAAGTGCTATTGACCAGCTTGAATAGTCATGAAAAATGGAGGCATGATTCACATTATCGTGCCAAAAGTGCCTGGTAGTAGGATCAGGGATTCAGGTTCCCATAGATACCGGGCATTGATATTATTCATGCATAACCATACCCTTGATTAGGTCTTTTTAAGGTTTTTATGATTTCAGCAGAATTGTAAAGTTATTTGTGTTCCATTGGTCTAGTACAGTATCTCATCAGAAATACAAAATGCTTGAATTCAATTCTAAAGCTTCCAATTTCATGGAAGTATGAATTTGAGGGGTACCAAGTGATGTATATGTACACATAGTAATTTATGTGACTTCTTTATTATGCTGGCAGTGGTAATCCAATTTTTTTTTTTTTTTTTATGTATTTAGGCTACCTTGTGAAAAGTAATTTTATGGTTCAAGATTAGAAATGGAAGTATTCTGTAGATGAATTTAACAAGTCTGAATGAGAGAACAATAATTAGAAAGGGAGGAGATACTTGATACATGTAGGCTAGTACAGAGGAGAAGAGAGAGAGAGAGAGAGAGAGAGAGAGAAAGATAGAGAGGGAGAGAGAGAGAGAGAGAAATATAAAAAGTGAGAGAGAAAGATAGAGAAGGGGTTGGAGGGGGTGGGAGAAAGAGAGAAAGAAAAATGAGAGAAATAGAAGAAGGTAATACACTGTATCTGTAAAAGGAAGTGGAGGTAATATGTTAAACATTTACATGTAGTAGGTGATCCAAATATTGATTCAGTATAAAGAGTATTTCAAATATAATTTGTCAATATAGATTAATCTTGTAAGGAAGGACAGAATTAAGCACTCATCACATATTTGTAGTTTAGAAAGTATGCACTTGAGGAAGAACAACATCATTAACACACAAGGAAATACAAAAAGACTTCACTGCAAGACTGAGATACTTCAACAACGTGTTTAATAGATTAGTTACTGATTAAAGCTGCAATAGATTTGCCCTTGCTTCAATAGTGAAACATTTCCACAACCTTAAGAGATAATAAATCACAAGTCTTTCATTTAATGGGATAGAGAGATTAGGAAATACATTAATTCAAGTACATGCTTAATATATCTAAATGTCTATTGTGTCATATAGAATTGATTAGCAGAGTTTCCTTTTTGTAATTTCTTTTCAGAACCGAAACATGAGAAGTTGGTGCTATGGTCTAAATCCTGTGATGCTTTTATTGGAAGTGTATCCCCTAAAAACATCAAGACATTGGTGAAGTCATTGGTACAGGATCCAGAGGTAATTTCTTAATTTTTTGCCTTATTCTGATTTTATAGAGCATGAAGTTTTACTTTTGTAAATTACTAATTTCTTTTCTTGTCTTTACCTAAATGTTGAGCCTGTTTCACTTCCCTCAAAATAGCCAATAAAAGCATACCAGTTTTTCAAGTGACATCACCTATTTGTGAAAATCTAGTGAGTTGTTAACAGCTTGCTGTGAACAGTAGCGTAGTGTGGACCTAGGTTTTTAAAGGGGCACTGTGGTATCTCGTGAATGGGTAGGGGGGGGGGAGATTTTGGGGCACTTCTCTTTAATATACTGATTAGTGCATATAATGTCCATTTCATCTCATTTATTCGTTTCCAGATTTAAGTAAAAACATGCACAATACAAAGGACAACACAAGAAAACAAAGATCCCCAAAATAAGTAATTGAAAAGAGTGCAAAATAATGAGTAATTATATAAACTAGTTTGTGGATGGGGGAAAATATTAGCAAAAGTTGCTTGTTGGGGTTTATGCCATAATAACTATATGATCATGTTGTAAACAAAGGGGAGGGCAGTCATTGGAATATTAGAATTACTGGGCTAAAAAGAAAATTCTGTATTTAACAATAAATGTGAAAGTGTTTGAATAGGAAGAGAGTGTGTGAAGTGGTCGTTCTGGTTTCTTTTTGTGTTTTTCCCTCTCTTTCTTTGTTTTCTCACTCTTTCATTTTTTCCATCGTTTTTGACATTTTAGTTGGGGGGAGGGGGGAGGGGGAGGGGGGAGGGGTGTACCTCTCGACCCCCCTCCCATGGCTTCACCTATAGTCACACTACTTTGTTAAAAAGGATTTGCAATCAAACTGTTGCATAAGTAGGATCCAACCATAATTGACTGCTTTCGGAGGAATCAGTTTCTCTTGTAAGAAGTGTTTTTTCTTGTTGAATTTCCCTTGTATTTCCTGTATATCATTGTTACAAACGAAGCAGAGAATACGTCATTGAAGGCAATGTTATGCAGTGGCTTAAACAAAAATCCAATTATTCCACATGGCTGGACATGGCAATACTCTTCATAGTAATTGCTGGATGGGTTTTTTTATTCCCCCCCAAAAAAAATATGCATTTAAAAATTACTTTTTGTCTGTCTTCTGATTTTGCTCATTGTATTTAAATATCTCATCTTTTCTAGAAATAAAATTAATGTCTACTACCTGCTGTGAACTGACAAAGGCTTGATTCAATAATTTTTCTATTGGTAGAATCATGTTGGGTCATATATTAATTTCCAAGATTTTAGGGGGTATAAATAATCTGATTTAAAGGCCCACTGCATTACTTGTAGCTACTTGCGCCCTCTTACAACAAACAATGCCTAATCGGTGACCATTGGTCCCCCATGATCCTCTTTTTCTTATGTTAACTGAGAGCTGAGTTGATGAGATAACCACCTGTCCAGTGACCTTGCAGGGCGCTCTAATCCCTCCTGTAAACTATGGCAGATAAGCTTTAAAGATCTTTTGGTCAATATGACCCCTCCTACTCATAAATAAGAATTTCAAAATATATTGGCAAGAAATATTATATGTAGCAATTTAAAGAAAATTAATGGAATATTTAATACAGAAATGCACATGATATTGAGAGTAAAAATATTCTGAATACATACATAACACGTAGTTAACTTGATTAAGATTTTAGTTGAACCCTGTTCTCTTCTCCACTAGATGCTATTTAATTAATTTAGAGAAGTTTTCATTTCATGTATATCTTTGTTTACCCCTGTTTTCCTAAATAACTTAACAGCATTATATATTTTTATTTTCTTTAAATTTTGTTTATTTCCATTTCCCAACAAAATAAAATGAAATACATAGGATTGCATTGTACATAGTAAAACAATGAAACTTACATGTAACAATATATTTGTAATTGGTCCACAGTGTACAACAGGCATATAAAACAGGTTGGTCATGGAGGGGACTGCTGAAAAGCTGGGCTTGTAGATTGCACCCCCCTATAACTTTTAATTGCAAAAATAGTACATCAATAATAAGGGAACATGTTATTCATACATCAATTTGATGAACATCGCTACTCTTCGGCTCTCTACTATAAAGTGGAGCATACTCGGTAGCTGCATGGGGTATACAATTATACATAATTGGCATAGGATTAGTTTCAATATCAAGTTAATGCCACTATGCTAAGTGAAAATTGATTAAGCATCAATTTACCCTTGATGCTTTGTAGGGCCCGACATGGAATGAGTAGGAATAACCATAATCGTACAATGATTTTACATATATACAAGAAGAGAAACTATTGGTTGGTTAAAGGGGCCAGATAATAGCACATGTGCTAGTCGAGCCTAACCCCTTCAACAGCTAAACAAAGTATTTTGGTACAAATCAGTTTAGAAAACGTAACAAAACAAAAAAACAATGAATTTACTATTGCAATCGATACTTTAAAAAACAAGAATGCTCAACAATGTCTTACAGTATAAAAACTAATAATGTAATGTACAAAATTGATCAGTGGAACATGAGCTATGCTTTAAACCATTGTTATCTACCAGGTACATGTATGTACATGTTCATGTAAAGTGCTCTCACATAGATATACAAAAAAAAGGAGGAGGGGATTAAGTGAGGTAAATTTGCCTTCTTTTGACTCTGGTAAATTTTATTATGTTGGCAGAGAGATTTATTGTCCCTAAGTTGACGCACAGTAATGTCTTGCATTCAGTTGCAAAGCATCTGCTTGTACAAGTTTGAGTGTAATGGTAAACACATGTTTAATAATAAATGTTTGCTGAATAAATGGACTTTTAACCCGGTGTGTGCTCCCTGATCAATCTTAGTGTAGATCCAAGGGATTTAGGGACTTTAGTTCACAAATATTTTGTCCTGTATGATGCTTCATTTCCACATGTGTGTGGCTGTGAAATATTCCATTCACCTGCTATTATCTTTTGTGCTATTATTGGCAGAACACCAACTGCATGAATAAGTTGGTGCTCTTCAAGGCTGAAGGTTTCTCATAAATAAAATAGATGTGTCAATCCCTACTTTAGGGGTATTTTTACATAATTGAGTTATAATTTTCCCTTTTGTATATTTTAATCACCAAATATTATATTTACATTTTCAGCAGTGACATTCACTCATTTAATATTATAGATTTTGATAGATAAATTTTATTAGGCGGAGGCATTATGTTTTCTTGCTGTCCGTCCGTCCTGTTCTTGTGATCGCGTTATCTCAAGAAAATAGATTACCACCAATTAGATTACCACCAAACTTGGTTCACGTTTGTTTCTTGCAGACTTATTAATACCAAATGGATAACAATACATGACTGAAAACAAGGTCTCTTTAAGAGAGGGGAGAGGGTTGGGGTCACTTCATCTTGAATGTTGATTTTGCCATTTCTCCTCTTTCTTATTCTGACTGTCTGTACCTGTCTCTCTCTCTCTTTCTACTTTTCTCTCCCCTGTCTCACTTGTCTCTCCCCCTTGCTCTCACTCTCTCTCACACACAGTCCCCCCTCTCTCTCTCTCACTCTCTCTCACACACAATCCCCCTCTCTCTCTCACTCTCTCTCACACACAATCCCCCTCTCTCTCTCTCTCACTCTCTCTCTCACACACAATCCCCCCTCTCCCTCTCTCTCTCTCACTCATTCTTTCTCTGCGATTCTCTTCCTTGTTTTTCATGCTGTTCTTTTAGCTACAAAGCCTACATGACTATCCACTGTGCCTTTTCACTAAACAAAGTTCTGTATTTTGCATCTCGTTTCTTTTGAAGGTATTTTTTGGTTCCATTCTCCTGAGTAACCTGACAGCCTTGATCGGGGATAACTTGCCCCATGAGTTTGAGAAGCTGCTCGGGCAAGTCATCCTGTTAGCCAAGGAGACCTATATAGCTGCTCCTTCTGGAGATCAGTACACTGTGAGTATAGTGGTTTCATTCAGTATATCATCTGTTCAATAACAGAAGGGCGTTAACTCTGTGTTATGGAGTAGAGGTAACTGTATTATTTTGTTAAATACAAAACTAAAATCTGACAGAATGTTGCCTACGCCAGAATTTCATCTACTGGTACACATTTACATGGATTGTATTTCCAATTGTATTTTCACTCAGATGTTTTGTTCATACATCTTAGCATATAAAATAAGCCATAATAAAAACACCATATGGAATAGAATTACAGGTAGCTATAATTCCTTGATTAAGTGCATAATAATCAAACTGTTTTGATCATGATAATAATAAAAAACACCATATGGAATAGAATTACAGGCAGCTATAGTTGATTGACTATTTGCATAATAATCAAACCGTTATGATCATGATAGTAATAATAAAAAAAAACACCATATGGAATAAAATTACAGTCAGCTATAGTTGATTGATTATTTGCATAATAATCAAACCGTTATGAACTTATGATCATAATAATAATAAAAAAAAACCATATGGAATAGAATTACAGGCAGCTATAGTTGATTGAATTATTTGCATAATAATTGTTTTTATTTTTTTCATTTTTTTAAAAATTTCATTTATTTCAATCATAAAACCATAACATAATATATATATACAAAAGTAACATGAAACATTCATAATCTTACAATTCTGGAATTAAGAAATTGGAGACTAAGCTTGAAAAACTTGTAAGTATAATAGTCCCCTGACATAAATAATAAATAACGAGATTACATGTTTGTACACGTTACTACAACAATAACAATATATAAATAAGATACTACACATTATATATACACACCGATGAACACACACACACACACCCACATGCATGGTACATTGCAAGGTAGAACAATTTAAAAGAAAGAGTTAAGGGAAATAAGAAGAGACCAACTGTCTCTTCAATAGAACTTTAAAGGATGATATAGTTGTGCATAATGTTAGCTTATCAGTTAAATCATTCCAAATACGGGGACCATTACGTCTAAAAGAGTAAAGCATTAACTGGGTAGAGACCTTTGGAAAATGATATCAAACCGTTATGATCATGATAATAATAAAAAAAAACACTATATGGAATAGAATTACAGGTAGCTATAGTTCCTTGATTAAGTGCATAATAATCGAAACTTTCCGATCAATTATGTTCAAGATCATGCAACATATGGTGTTATTGTTTTGAAAAAGAGTGTTAAAAATCATTTAGAAGTCTAGACAGCAGATGTAGTGTCAGAATCAGATCATATGTTGAAGGTTGTATTATGATGTTTGGGTTTTGATAGTGATATTCAGGTGCTCTGATATAGGTGCTCCAGCAGCAGTTGCTGTGGGTCTGTTTGGTTAAAGAGACAGTGTTTAGGATTAGGGTTTTAGGTGTTAAGTAAGGTTTAGGGTTAGGGTTGGAAGACATGTGGTGTTTGGTCTAGAATTGAATCTGTTGGTTAGTGTACTTAGCGTATATAGTGCCCGTAGAGATGTTTTTGCTGGAGTACATACATTTTACACTCCCCCTTTGAAATATATCCCAGATCTGTCCCTCTATCTATTTGTATACATCCAAACACATCCCATAGCGCGCTTGATATCCTATCAGTAAAATCAATATACATTTCAGCTCTGACCTCCGTCCTGTAACACATCTTGTTATGATTATGATAACAATCCATTAGTAAAGTCTTTTTCAACTAGACCGCTTCCCCAGATTGCTCAAGGGGGGTGTTTCACAAAGATCCTAAGTTAAACTTAACTCCAAGTTAGACTTAAACATTATGGAGAGCCATTTCTGGCCTTAAAATAAAATATATTCAAAAGCAAAAATTCAAGTATTTCGAGTCCCGCCACGGCACTAATTGTCCTTTGGTAAGACATTGATCTACATCTGCAACACTCAACCCAGGTGAGGTAAATGGGTACCCTCGAAATTCCTTGAAATGCTGGAGCACTGTAAGGGCAGCTAGGCTAAAGCCGGGGTAATAATAAAAGCGCCCTGGAATAGAATTTCTAGATAGACGGCGCTATGGAAATGCCTATTATTATTATTATTATTATTAGTATTATTATTTATTATGTTTTGTTTCTCTCTCTCTAGACATCATACATGCACTCTTGGAAAAGTGTTCAAGAGCTGGCTGCGAGGGCGTGCTCCTCCTTGGATGTGACCTGTGCAATCTCTGCCATCACCATGGCACCCTGGGACCTCCCGACCCTTACAAAGGTCACACTGATAGAAGGCCAACGACCTTTGAACCGGCGGTATTGCTGTGAAGAAACACTAGAGGTGAAAATTTATCATGTTAAAATTGTTTAATATGGGTTACGGCGCAGGAAATGCATATGCAGATGTGTAAACACGTGCATAAAACGGCATCAGAGAATATGCCATTTTGCAGTATCTAGTCAAAATACCTGAGAAAATATAGCTAAAACTACTAACTTACACTTTGGTATTGGAATATCCCAGTGACTTATGCATATCTGCAACTTCATGAACACAATGTAGGTTTATTGACCCGCTTCTAAATCACCCCTAAAAATTGATGTAGCGGCATTTTAAAAGGGAAGACCCCACTTATATCAGTTTCTATCACCAATCAGTACACGATTGTACACGATTGATTATCTTTTATGAAACTACAACTCCCATTAAACCAGTATGACAGACCATTGACCGAGTCAACCTGGGCCCTGTTTCATCAAACTTGTTATCATTAACAACTGCCACATATCTATGACAAATCTGATCTCAGCCAATCAGATGTAAGGATTTCAGTAGCTTATAACAGTGATTGAACATGTATCTTGTTTGTGAAACAGGGCCCAGCTGGTCATGGAAGTAGGGCAGGTGAAATATTGGCAATTTCAATTTGATTATTCTACAGTTTTGTCAAATTTCATTGGGTCATTAATTTGTTTTGATTAGGACAGCTAGATGCTCTCTTACCATTTAATTGGTTATTTGCATGGCTGCTCCAATAGGCCATTTTTATAATAATAATAATAATACATAACATTGATTAGGCGCTTAAAGCTAAAGACCAGTTATGGTCATGCGATTGCATTGTGGAAGAAACATTGTGAAATCGATCAGAAAAGGTTGATCATCTAGCATAGATGTACTGCAAGGTTCTGGAATCATCAAAATGATAAGAAATTTGGCCAAGTCTTCATAAAGTTAGAATCACTGTACACAGAAAGATGTATATGGGACTACACACACGTGCGCGACACATGCATTTTTATCTCTCAACAGGCGAGAGATACACTAATTTACCAAATATATCAATTAGTAGGCGGTTTCCAGTCAACACTTTTATCATCATGTATTATTCAAAACATATTCTTTCACATGATTGGTAATAAGAGCTTGCATTTCATTTTTTGAAATTGGGGCGTTTCCAATACTGATCTTTAGCTTTAATACAGGTGTTTCTAAGCGCACCATTGTCTGACCAAATTTATACTAAAGTGCCAAATTGATACAAATTATTTCATGCACCTGTTATAAATAATTTTATTTCAATACCCGGTAGTTATAGAATGCAAATTACATACAGTATGTGTTGTTAGGAAGCTAGGGTGAGCCATAGTGTTTGCCCTCCCTAGCAACAACCAAAGTATGCAATTTGAATTCTGACCATTGAGAAGCAAAAATAATTAAAAACACCCTTTTAATATTGATTGCTTCACATACATGTACAGTTCCTCCTTCTTGCTTCTGTTCTGTTTAACAATGTATGTTTGTCCCTTCTCAGGATTGCAGCATGACATACAGAACGGTGAATGGGACTGAAGATATAATTATTGGTGCTTCTCGTCACAGGGAAGTGAGATTTCAAGGAACAGGGCTCCTACTCAGCACATTGCTCAAACTGAGTGAGTGTCTTATTCTGTAATTATCTAGGTTACTTCACAGCTTTAATGACAAGACATTATTTTGCTTTGGTGACGTTTACACCAGTGAAGTTTACTCCATGCTTTATTTTAACAACGCTAAAGGGTTTGATTTGATTTGATTTGATTTGATTTATTGGTTTCTGCATCTTTTTTCTTTTTTTATCATACATTTTCATGAATATAATATGGTTTGATACAATATTTTAAGTGTATAGGGTATGTTTAGGGATAAGATTAAACTTATAGGTCCAGTGTTTGGGGTCCAGGGCTGAAGTCAGAATTTGGTTAACAGTGCAGATCGAGAAATCAGTCTAAAGAAAGATAATGAGAATTTGAGATCATATAATTGGCAACAAATCAAAACTTAGTACATCCTTTTTTGTTTCATTTCTTTATTGCATTTGATGCAAGTAATTAGAAAGGAAATTCTAGCTTTAAAATCTCTAAATTGGCATCATGTTGAGAGATTCAAAATCAATATTTTTTTGATTAAAACTGTTTTCAATTTTTCGACAACATTTCTGCCCATGTGTATTGTTTTCCAGAGACATAATATTTTACTCTAACAATATATCAGTAATATTATTACCAATTTGAAGAATGATATGTGATCAATTTAGCTCTAAAAATAAATCCTGTCCTGAACGGATTAGATAATACCTTTAAAGCCCCACTGTCCTACTTGTAGCTACTTGCTCCCTCTATATAGAAAACTTCCCAAATCGGTCCCTGTTGGTCCCCCATGATCCTCTTTTTCTTATGTTAGTTGAGAGCTGAGTTAATGAGATAGCCACCTGTCAGTGACCTCGCTGTGTGGTCTAATCCCTTCTGGCCCAGTAGTATTGACGGTCTTTCATATTCTTTTCTTGACAGACCTTGTTGGATCTAGTCTTGAGAGACTTGTCGTACCTCTTTTAGAGATGGACTATTGTCCTGAGAGACTGGCGAGGAATATCCTGGTTACTAACGAACAATTAATGATACACTCAGAGGTAAGATCACTTATGTTTACTTTTTACTGACATGGTTTATAAAATTGCTGCTCAATTTTGCATCGTCAGTTGTATATTTAATGTGGGCATCTGAAATTCAGTATAATGAATCTTGAAGAATGGTGAACAGCACTCAATAGCTATTTTCGTTTTAATCCTCCCCTCTTTTTCACTCTCTCTCTTTTTCACTCTCTCTCTTTTTCACTCTCTCTCTTTTTCACTCTCTCTCTTTTTCACTCTCTCTCTTTTTCACTCTCTCTCTTTTTCACTCTCTCTCTTTCTCTCTTTCTCTTTATCTCTCTCTTCCCCTTTCTCTCTCTTCCTCTTTCTCTCTCTCTCTCTTTATCTTTCTCTCTCTCTTCCTCTTTCATTCTTGTTCTTTGTCTTTTTCTCTCTTTCCCCCTACCAATGCCTTTTTAGGCATATTATATATATTTATCATTCTCTTTCTGTGCATGTTTATGTCTTTTCCTCTGTCCGTCTGCTTTACCCCCCACTTCCTCTCTCTGTGTCTCACTATCACTATGAACATGACTGACAAAGAAAGCGCACAAAATATACAGTTCCTCAGTTAGACAAAGGAACATCCCTTCACTGCTATTATGTAAAAAGGTGAATATGATTGTGACACCTGTTCTACACATTTGAACATAATAGCAGTGAAGGGATGTTCCTTTGTCTACCTGAGGAACTGTATATTTTGTCCGCTTTCTTTGTCAGTCATGTTCATAGTGTATGTTTGTCTCTGTTTTTATTGTGTTCTCTGTTTTTGTACAAATCAGAACATGAGGCATTATATACAGTGTACAGAGCAGTGAGTTTACCTGCATCAAAGCTGCCAAATATTACCGAAAAAAATAAATGATTATTACGATTGCACCATTAAGAATTACGAATATAAGCGTGAATATACATGCAATGTATTGAGTACACACATAATACATGGCGCAATGGCAAACTTCTCAGATTTATTTTGTGTATGTGTTTGGGAGGGGGCTTGTCCTGTACCCCTGCCACAAGGGCTTCATACTTTACTTGGCGTGCTTGTAATGGCCATGTTACTCTCATTACTAATGTCAAATGTTAGCAGTTGCATTATGATGCTTTTCACATTTACATAAATACAGGGGGTTGTTTGAAGAAATTGCAAAGTTATCACCAGTAAAGTGAATCAATATTTTCTTGATTGTTATTATTATATTAATAATACCAACCATCCTCTCCAACCGGCGCTATAGTCCTCCTTATAACTAAAAGCTAAGAAAGATAACCAACAGTCCTTTTCAGGACTACACACCCTCAAGAAAGATTACCGAGAATCCTTTTCAGGACTCCCCAATCCTCCCTCTCTCTCACATGGTGCAACCGCAAGCCTACTGTATATATTAATTATATCTTTAACTTTTAATCTTTAATCGTTGCTTTCACATCCACAGCTACCCAGGTGCCAGAGCATAATCTATGAGAATCACAAAATTCAGCAAGAAAAACTCATCTTTGACATCGTGATAGGAGTCGAGGAGAAGCCTGCAGAAACCTTTGACAGAAACAAAAAGCTATCTCTGCCAGATAACCAGTACAAGGAGAACAAGAATAATAATGTCGTGAAAGAAACAAGCAGGGTAAAAAGTGATAAATCAACAGTACTACTATCACATCAGAATAATGATCAGAGCTTGGTCATGAATATGCATACCAAGTATGCAAATAAAGACAGCGCAAATCAGAATATGCGTGCCTTGCATGCAAATGATGGTTTGAATATGCATAATGAATATGCAGATGGGGACGGAGGAAAGATTATACAGAGGAAGGAGAGTGAAAAGCTTACTCTTCAGGGAGAAGAAAAGAGGCAAGTAGTGGGTGGGGTTGGGAAGAGTAAAAGTGCAATAAAAAACAACCAAAGAACTTTCAAGAGTGCATGGGAATCACCACAGGTTAGTGACGGGAAGGTACACTTTGCAGACACAGATGTAAATAATGTGGGACTGGACAAGGAGATGGAGAAAGCAAACACAAATGTGAATAACGTGGGACTGCCGAATGGGCTGGACCTTGCAGACACCAATATGAATAACATGGGACTACACGCGGGAGTGCAGACGATGCACCTTAGGAAGCGTGATAATGTTGGTTGGGATGGAGACGAGGAGGCGGAGCAGAGACTGCATGAAAGACCGCTGGAATGGGAGAGAGCCAGGGAGGAGCTGGATGGTTACCGAGGGGCGGGGCAGCAGGTCATGATGAAGAGTCAGGTTGATATGGTGGCTGATCTATGGCAGCGGGAGAATGAGGATGACTGGGATGCTAACAGGTTAGACATACCTACCAACCCTTCCAAATAATCAGTAATATTCAGATTTTTCAATTTTTTAAAAATGTGTTTTTGTTTGTTTGTGCTAAAGCCAAATTAAGCTTGTTTTATCATGTGCTGCAATTTCTTATTTTCGAAGGGCCAGGCATACCATGCTAAACATTCCTTGGCAGGTATGGGTGACATAATTTATAAGAAATATGCAGAATATATAAGTCAGTGATGTAATGGCCTCATGCGAGTCCATAGGTTTATGGCCTTGGCCTCAAATTGAGTCATGGGTACAAAATCTATGAAAGGTAATATTTTCAGCAGTCTGACTTGGAAGTTGGATCACTGCCTTTGTGAAAATAAGAATTGTGTGAGATATGCATGTGACATTATACATGTCAGGCTATTTACTGTATGTAAGATGTGCCCTTTTTTTATTTAAAATGTAGATGTACAATATCTGTACATGTACATCTTATGATAGGGGTGTTATTCTTTTCAAATAAAACTTTGTAAAGGCATGAAACTTGACTATCAGTATGGTTTCCTGAAGCAAATTTGTACAAATATTGGCAAAGTACCTTTGAGTAATTCATTCACTTGTTTGCATTTGCAAGACCAGTGCATAGTGGAAGACCAGGGAAAAAATACAAGGGGGCTCAGGGCGAAGTTGCCCCCAAAATGCCCAAAAGAGCCCCCGAAATTCAGAAAAGAGCCCCCGTAAATTTGCATAGAGTTCAATGCAAAACAAATTAAAGAGTGTTATTTTCATGCAGGCAAGCTTGAAAAGTAGCCCCCCAAATTTTTAATAATTTTTTTTTAGCCCCTTAAGTTTTTTTTTTCGATGTGGAAGACAAATATTTGATGGACTACGCAAACATGTTCATGTATCTGTACATTGTATCCAAAATATTTTCTCATTCTACAGAAATGCAGAAGTCCAAGGAAGCAATTGGGACAGAGAGACGAATGGTCGATCGTCCAATGATCAGAACGCATCCAAGCTTGTTGCCGTGGGTAACCTCCTCCTCACTCGAGATGAAGAAAATCCCCCTGTTCATGAGAAAAGTTGGGAAACAGGGAAAGGAGAAAAGAAACAAGAAGGTCAAGGTAGAAAAGAGAGTGAAAAGACGGGAGGATCAAGATACGAAGCGGAGGGGAGACCTCTTGAAGTGATGTCCAGTGCCCGAGACAAACAACAACGTATGGAACCACCAGGAGATGAGAGCATCAGGACCAACGGCGTGCCATTCAAGGACAAATCAAATACCCAAAGAGATGGAAGGTTTCCAAAGCAAAGAAGGAAACAGTTCAGACAAGTAGCAGGGAGCTTGCAGGGAGTTGCCAAAGGGGTTGACACAAAAAGTGTGGATGAAACACTAGATAATAAACAACCTTTGACACCATCCGTGCCGATTACTGCAAGAAGAGCAACAGAGAGAGGAGACGGAAATAGAGATGAGAAGGGCAAGGTAATGGAGGAGCCGCGTTATCGACAGGTAAATAAATTTGTTGATTTAGAGAATGGTTTGTAATAAGTTTTGCCCGCTTAGTATATGATATAGGATAAAGATATCTGGCATCATGATGCAGTATTATAATACGTTCAAGATAAAGAAAACGTTTTGAAGTAGCACTATTAATTCATAGGTTAATCAACATTAAAATTTTACATTTATGTTGTCATCTATGATATTGGTTTTGGGACTCTATAAATTTCCTGATCATTGCTTAATTACTTTCATTGGTTTATAGTTTTCAGGATTTGAATTATTAAAAACAAACTTGTTATCCCTAATTTTGAAATGAATGCAGCCTGTAAAAAAGAAATCATTACATGTTGAACCATGCACACATCTATAATGATCTCTCTAAACGGCATCATCACCATGCCATCTTTCCTTCTCTGCCTCTCTTTTGTTTTTTTGTTCAGAGACAACTTTTACAGCAGTACTACGGAAATGACATGGCCTACAATGATGGAGGAGCTGGAGGAGAGGTGCGGTCAAACGCCGCCAAGGGACCGATCGAGGTCCAACAAGAGATTGTAGCTTGGAGGAAGATGATGGGATCGGTTGTTAGGCAACAAGAGCACGGAGGAGAACCCAGGTGGGAGGAGCTCGAGAGTAACAACAAGGAGGAGGAGATCAATGAGGTGGATGAGGGGGGTGATTACTATTACGACGGGGTGAAAATAGAAGAGGAGGGTAAGGAGAAACCCAGAAGTGGAGATGATGAGGGTTACTATGGCAACAAGGATGAGGGACGAAAACCAGACACCCGTGATGACGGGAAGAAGGAGGGGGAAGAGGGGGATGATAATTGGAGAGAAGATGCATTCAAAAGCAGACGGGTAGGAGGAGCCTATGGAGGAGATGATGCGGAGGATGGAGAGGAAGAGATTGAAAGAACGATGGAAGAGATGCTGAAGATGAAGGAGACGGAAGGAGAAAAGATCTTTGACTCTATGTGGCAAGTTCTTGAAACTGTCTTCTTGGAGGCGAGCAACCAAGAATTCAGCTTGATGACCTATGGTAAGTGAATATCAGTATTTAAAGGGGGACTGCACTACTTGTAGCTACTTGCGCCCTCTTTATAGCAAACAATGCCTTAGCGGTGCCTGTTGGTCCCCATGATACCCTTTTTCTTATGTTAATTGAGAGCTGATTTGATGAGATAATCACCTGTCAGTGACCTTGCAGGGAGTTCTAATCTCTCCTGGCCAAACTAGTGCAGATAGGCTTTAAAGGACAAGTCCACTCGGCTAAAAAGGTTTAATGATTAGATAGACAAAAATCTAAAAAGCCCAAATATAACTTGGTCTTGGAAAATGGAGCTCGGACTTATTTTTAATTAATTGTTTTAATGAGCAAAGAACAAGTTAGTGATCGAGCCGGTTCACCCCCACAATGCATCGCGCGACATTTTTTGTGACGTAGGGTCCTCACAACACAGAGCTAGCTAGCTAGCTAGAGACGATGCCCATTCGCGAACCAGTCAGACCGCAGCAGCGCTCGCCAAATCGCACGTATTTACTCAAGTCGTATGCACGTTTTTGCTCCTCATGAATACGTAATAAGCAAAAACATGGCACAGTTCTCATCTTTCTGTTATGCTCAGGATTCATTTAATGACATTGAATTCGTCATGAATATTGAGCCAGAACTATAAACATTATAATGTACTATTCAATAAATAGTGAGTGAAGTTTGAAAATGTGAAAAAAAACACCAAATAAAACTTGCAAAAAAAAATATTTGAAGAGTCGGATATACATGTTAAACAACCATTTTTATCGGGGGTGCGTCTCGCTGAATTTTGGCTTACCACATAATGTAGATATTTTCCTAACATAATATTATACTTCCTGTCAATGTTTGTCTCAATACCAGTCAGGAACTAGCAAAGTAGTAGCTGATGCATAATAGACTTCGGCGGAAAATACGACATGGCCGATCGACGAGCGTTTCGCATCGAGATCAACCGGGGGATACCACGTTATATATAACTCTGCGTCGATTCGCGGTCCAACCAGTCTGCGCGCTATACGTGAACACGCACGGAAGATAGACGGAGATTAAGGATATTCATGAATTACTCTCGTGTGCGTAACCCCCGGTCGTAGAGGCTTTGCATTGCCCCACATACTTATTATTGTGTACGATATTCATGCGCTACATACTTATAGAAGTGAACGGAAAGTACAAAGTTGGACACAGATACGCACACAAGTACAATCAAGTACAATATAGAATACCAGCTCTAGGGACAGAAGAGGGGATTTAAGTGTCTATATAGGCTATTTTTGGCCAGGCTTTGATATCATTTTAACAAAGAAGACACATTATTTGTATGAAATGTATGTTTGTGTAAATACAAACTTCTTTTTTTTTGGGGGGGGGGGGCAATGTGATTTAAAATTGAAAATATGATTGTTCCCATCCCTGCTAATAATTTCATGGTTGTGAAAGTTCTGAAATGTGTTTTTATATTTGTAAACCATAAGTTCATGAGAAGAGCCTTAAACAGGAATTTCTTTTGGTAATTCCCAGACATTTGAGGATGGTAATATTTTATTTCATAGTTCTTTTGTCAATTGTGTTACTCCAGTTCATGTGTATTCCTGGAAATAAAATATTACAAAATTCTTTCCCTTATTCTTTTTTCTGTTTGATTTTGTTTTAAAATGACCCGCGGAATATATATTTCTGAAAATTTATTTTCGGGGTTTGTTTGACCCTCGGATAGAAATATTAGTGTGCGGTGGGCTGAAGGGCTCAAATATAACTTGAAGAATTCTAATTTTCATCTTCAACATCATTATCACAATCGTCATCGCCATCACAATCATTATCATCATCACCATAGCCATCATCGCCGTCACCACCTACATCATCATCACCACCATAAGCATTGCAATCACAACCATCATCGTCATCATCATGATCATCATCTCCATCATCATAATCACCGTCATCATCATCGCCATTATCATAACCATGATCATTATCGCCATAATAATCAACGTCATCATTGCCATCACGTATCACGATCATCACCACCACCGACATCACCATTAATTGCCATCATCACCACCAACCGTTAACGACCAGCATTGCCATCATAATCACCCTCATCATCACCACCATCAGCATTGCCATCAAGATCATCTTCGCCATCATCACTATAATCATCGTCATCATGATCGCCATTACCACTGACGTCATCACCGTTGCCATCATCATTATCATCATCACCATAGCCATCATGATCAATCACCTTCACCACTGACATCATCACCATCATCTCCACCGTCTCCATCACCACCATCACAATCATCATCACCAACGTATCAAAATATGTCAATGCTTGACTATTTATATTATGTTTACCCTGTGTAGGTACTATTTCTGGATGAAATACAAATCTGCGAAAAATATCTTTAAAAAAAAAATTGTTTTTCTTTTGTGGGGGGCTATTATTTAACAGGTCTGTGTAATTTACATTCTTTAATCAAAATTCATGCTAACTAACCCAGAAGAAAACCAGCTCTGGTTTCTTCTGAATAGCCTAGTAAACAGACAACGGTTAAACAAAAAATGTATTATTTAACACTACTTCTAATAATAAATGCGATAGGACTAGGAATAAAATTTGCATTTTCTAATATTTATATTTTATTTATGAACTGACTTTGACATTTATATTGGGACCATCACAGGCATAAAATGTGTCGCTGAGAATAAAAGTATTATTAGAGTTCAATATTGTTAAATTGTATAAAGGTGACAGTTCTTCTTTCTTCTTCCTCGGTAAATGCTACTTCATACAACGAAGATTGATGTCTGTCAATGTCCCGCAAGCTTCGATGGTTGAGTGCGTCTGTCAGAAAAACAACAACAAATGATTGTTGTTCAGTCAGTTTTCTATTAATATAATAAATGCTTTGTTCGTGTGAAGCTCTGGAATCCCACCTTGGAACTTTGGGAGTATCAGAGATTTTTGTTTTATTGAAAGGATTAAGCTGAACAAAATCCTTTTCGTCCTTCTCCCAAACTCCCCGTTCAAGATTGTGTGTTGCAAAGTGAAGCATAACTGCTGATGAGTCTTCAAATTAATAACCATTAAAACGAACAAAGGCCTGGAGTCCACTCAGTCCAGCAAATGTTGATCCAGGAATGCAATGGAGACTGATGTGTGATGTCTGTCAAAGTCCGGCAAGCTTCGATGGTCAAGTGCGTCTGTCAGAAAAACAACAAATGATAAGAAGAATAAAATGGCTTAGTTCAATGTATGGGGATTTGAAAAGAACTTATCAAAGTAGCTAGCCATTTATGGTAGCCAAAACTGGCTTGCTTTCAAATTTATTTTTTAAATGAAAACAAGTTACAGGTGTCAGATTCATGAAGTTTTCCCTTCATTTTTCAAGATGTGCACAAGTTCTAAAATGTAAGTGTTTAACTTTTGCTTTTTGTTTTAATTCTGCTCTGTTCATAATCATAATATATACTACTCGCACAAGGAATTGTTGCTTATTTCTGTGGCTGGCTGTAAGGTTTGAGTTGACCAGAAGGCAGAACCAAAGTTTGAGAATACCAAAATAATAAAATTAATTATCCTGTAATTTGTCATTCTAATATCCAGCTCAGCTCAGCTAAGGATTCCAGTTCTTTACAATTCGACCAGTTATCAAACCCCTTCATTACTTGTCTTAACATGTTTAAACCCTTGTAAATATACATTTCAAACATATCATTTGTTCTAGATTTCTAATAAATAGCAATGACTAATGAGCAGTCAGTGTCAGCAGTCGATTTATTTACATTGCTGTCGATTTGCGACAACAAAAACTAAAAAGCTGACACAAATATATACACTTGGGACTACTGTATGCGCCACACAATGGAACAGCGACACACAAGAAACCCCGCCATTCCTGAGGCTGACTAAAAGGCCGTAGCCATAGCAATTTCCCGCGGTTTCGAATCATTTTCCGTCTACTTCCGGTAGATTTCAAAAATATAGCCCAATAATTTGGGCAAAATGTCTATGAAGTACATTATTATTTTTAAATATAGATTCTGAAAGACATTATTTGTGTTTAATGTTTTTCAAATAAGTTCATCCCTAACTGTAGTGTACTGAGCTGAACAGTACATAAACTTGTGCTGTTGTGCATTTAGGGATTAGCTTCTTTGAAGAACACTGAACACAAATATTGTTGATTCTTGTGTCATGTTCATAGTGATTAGTGAATGTGATATTATGTGAAATGGAATCATTTAAACTGGAGGTGAAATAATTAATAATGCATGCAAATAAAATAAACACTCGTCGCCAAAAATAGATGACTAATTGACTTAAAGCTTGTCTTCCAAAGATCAGACATACATCCAAACCAAATATTTTCATCATCTTTGTCATCATTAACACGATCCTTATTTATTACTAATAATATCATTAATGTTTCAGGTTATTATTACATCTACAGTATTCCACAGAAGTAAGTACACCCTCACAAATAATTTGCGCTTTAGTCTGGAAAACATCTACAATGTATCTCAGGAAAGCTAGTATTTTGTCATCTGTCATCTGTTTTGTCATATTTACCACAGCGCTACTAAGGTCAACCTATAATTTAGACGAGTGTAAATGATCATTTCTGGCGCATTGTTTGTATTGACTAGCAGCAACATGCATATGCACATGGCACGGCCGCACGCATAGACCTACGACGCTGTAGATCTACGCCTGAGCGGCCCGGGCACGCAGGCATCGCGTACGATACGGTTACTGAATGAAGCCAAGATCTACGGTTGTGGATGTACTTTTTAATTGTTTACTTCATCATATTTTTGTAAGAACATTACCTTTTGACGCTCAGACTCTTCCCGACGTCGTGTTGTTGATTTCCTCTTGGATGGTGGTTGAGGACGGTGGAAGAAGATGGTAGGAAAGATGGCATCGGGTTTTAGTAGTAGTTTCATTCGGGCCTCGTACTTCATCACCTTCGCCCGAATTCCTGAAAACAATCAGCCTCGAAGTGGTCCTCGCAAACGACTCTATTTTTGCTAAATTGATATGTCCGTATATTAAACTTGTTCGTCCCAATATTATTCAACCACTGAGAACATCTCTCCCTGTCTTTCAATGGGTTTGGGATGCTAAAGAAACTGTTTTTACTCCCATACCCTGGCCGATTGGAACACCCTTACGCCTGGCACAGCGGCATCTTGACTAGTCAGAATGTAAGACATGCGCTTAGTTGTGAGGACCATACGTCACATCACGTGATCAACAATCTGACATCGGTGCGGCAAATTTAAATGTTTTGCTAGAAATAACCGAAATAGAAATCGCTCTTAAAAATCAACCGATTGAAGTACAGCAGTGATATTTGGCAGTTTTAACCTTTGATTTATTTACAACATGCTATGATTTTTGAAAATTCGAGTGGACTTGTCCTTTAAAGCAATGTATCTTGTTTGAAAGTGTTGTTAATATGCTAAGAAAATTATTACAGTAATATTGCAATTGTTATCAGGCAAGGTATTACATTCTTACATGCAGATATTTGCATGAGAATACATATCTTTTGGGATAACTCATCTAGAAGTAATCTAGCTACATTTTTACGTACACTGTGTATACACGTTCATACATGTACATTGAAAGTATTCTTGTGAGGTATCTGCATACATTGATTCAAAGACCAGTATTTATTGAGAAGATTTATCAACATCTTTGTATTCATTTTACTCCTAGTACTCCTACTACTCTTTCATGATTAAACTGTGATGTACTGTGTTTCTACCATTGCTCATAAAATATATGCAAATGTACGGTACCAGTAGTCTGTTACCTTAAACCAACTGGCCTACTTCCTTGACTGTGCATGTATATAGGAGGTGAGGAGCTAAGTTTGCTGAGTGCCAAAGTTTCCCGTTCATTCCGCAATGCAAGCATCTTGACCGTTATACCTGCTGAGGATGATCACCTCATGAAAAGCCACAGGTTCGGTTTCATTCTCTTTGTTGACATTCACATTAGCATTTCAGAAACAGACCCTTCTTTCCCTCTGTAATTTTGATACTGTTTAAAAAGAAACGTAATTACTCTTCTTTTAGATACCAAATGATTTGTTGTTGTTGGTCAATTGATGTCTGTGGTTTCACTATGGCAGTCGAAGGATATAAAGTCCATAACTGCTCTCAGAAAAATTTATACTTTTTTGGACCTCTTTAGACATGCCATCTTTTTTCTTCATCTTTTTTGTTACATTAGTTGGAGGATTTGTGGTATTAATTGTTTGCAAATTTGGTATAAAACCCTAACCTCTCCTCATTTTGACCATTATTCATTCAAGCAACACAAGTGCCTTTGCTTAATTATTAAAGTAAAGACTACAGAATTTAATGTTTTTGATGGAGAAAGAGAGAGAGAGAGGGAGAGAGAGAGAGAGAGAGATCGACAGAGAGACAAAGACATGCAGAGACAGAGACTGAGACAGAAGTGAGTAAGTGAGTGAGTGAGTTAGTTAGTGAGTGATAGTGAGTGAGTGACTGACTGATGAAGTGAGTGAGTGAGTGAGTGACTGACTGACTGATGAAGTGAGTTAGTGAGTGAGTGAGTGAGTGAGTGACTGATGAAGTGAGTTAGTGAGTGAGTGAGTGAGTGACTGACTGACTGATGAAGTGAGTTAGTGAGTGAGTGAGTGACTGAGTGACTGATGAAGTGAGTTAGTGAGTGAGTGAGTGAGTGACTGACTGACTGATGAAGTGAGTTAGTGAGTGAGTGAGTGACTGACTGACTGATGAAGTGAGTTAGTGAGTGAGTGAGTGAGTGAGTGACTGACTGATGAAGTGAGTGAGTGAGTGAGTGACTGACTGACTGATGAAGTGAGTTAGTGAGTGAGTGAGTGAGTGAGTGACTGATGAAGTGAGTTAGTGAGTGAGTGAGTGAGTGAGTGACTGACTGATGAAGTGAGTTAGTGAGTTAGTGAATGAGTGACTGAGTGAGTGAGTGAGTGACTGAGTGACTGACTGACTGATGAAGTGAGTTAGTGAGTGAGTGAGTGAGTGACTGACTGACTGATGAAGTGAGTTAGTGAGTGAGTGAGTGAGTGAGTGACTGATGAAGTGAGTTAGTGAGTGAGTGACTGACTGACTGACTGATGAAGTGAGTTAGTGAGTGAGTGAGTGAGTGAGTGACTGACTGATGAAGTGAGTGAGTGAGTGAGTGACTGACTGACTGATGAAGTGAGTTAGTGAGTGAGTGAGTGAGTGAGTGACTGATGAAGTGAGTTAGTGAGTGAGTGAGTGAGTGAGTGACTGACTGATGAAGTGAGTTAGTGAGTGAGTGAGTTAGTGAATGAGTGACTGAGTGAGTGAGTGAGTGAGTGAGTGACTGACTGACTGATGAAGTGAGTTAGTGAGTGAGTGAGTGAGTGAGTGACTGATGAAGTGAGTTAGTGAGTGAGTGAGTGACTGACTGACTGACTGATGAAGTGAGTTAGTGAGTGAGTGAGTGAGTGAGTGACTGATGAAGTGAGTTAGTGAGTGAGTGAGTGACTGACTGACTGACTGATGAAGTGAGTTAGTGAGTGAGTGAGTTAGTGAATGAGTGACTGAGTGAGTGAGTGAGTGAGTGAGTGACTGACTGACTGATGAAGTGAGTTAGTGAGTGAGTGACTGAGTGAGTGAGTGAGTGAGTGAGAGGGGGATAGCGAGTGAGTGCTTGTTTTTTATTTCTATTTTTTTTATACTTATTTGAACAGAAAGCTTCAAGAGTCCCTTCAGCTGACAAACAACATAATTACACAGACTGAGCTCACAGACAGGATTGTATTTAATCTCTACCAACAGATGGAGTACTTCAGATTCCAAGTAAGAGCGTCAAATATTCCATAATCCCTATTTCATTATTGAAGCTCAGTCTGTACTCCCAGTTCTTGCATTGAAATTAATTTGAGTCACTTTAAAATCAAAGAATTGTTCATATTGTAAAACATGTAATATATACAAACTTGTATCAAGATATTTTTTTTATTCTTGGATGAAATAATGCAAATTTATATATTTTTTTATTCATTCATGGTATAAAACAAAATATGATTAGCAGCCAATGGCTGCATTGTCACATTTTTCAAGCAAGTTTTAAAAATACATAAAATTCAACACTAAAAATGTAAGAATAAACAAAAGACATGCCTTACGGGACACAACGCAAGCAGTTCTGCCTTTCCACATCAAAACAGCATAACTGACATTTTAGTGTTTCTGAGATATAGGAAGAAACATGCAATTCATTTTACTATTAAAAGTGTTTTAATGTTTTTTATCCAGTGTTGACTTATCAAAATAGGTAATTAAAGTGTTTTTTCAACCTTAAATTTTAGTTTCAAATGTGTAACTTGATGTTATGCTTCACCCACACTAAATAAGTCAATTTTCCAAAAAATAAAAATAATAATAATCTTTTAGTCCACTCCAAATTTTATTAAACCGAAAATGGAAATTCTTTTTGCCCAAGTGATCGTGAGCCCGGCAGCAACTGAGCAGCGCCAGATCGACGTTGCTCTATCCCCTTATTGTTGAACGCCAAACAAGGTAGCAGCAACTCCCGTCTTTTAACGTATGATGCGGCCGGGGTTCGAACCCACGACCTCCCGGTTGTGAGGCGGATGCTCTACTCACTGAGCCAACAGTTATGCTGTTTTGTCATGGAAGGGAGAATTTCCCAGAGAGAATTTCCAACATTGTTGAGTTCATAGACTTCTAGATAAATTTTTGTGGAAATGTAAGATTTGGTTTCATACTACGTAAATAGATAACCGAGACATTATTATTATTTTTTTTTTAACTCACTCACTCACTCAATCTCGCTCTCTCTCTGCCTCTGCCTCTGTCTGTCTGTATATCTTCCTCTCTAGGTTCTTGGCCTAGCAACATTCCAGAAGCTCTTCACGTACGGGCGTTCCTTCCCATCATACCTTGGTCACATGCTCGCCCTCTCTCAAACGACATTCATTGAAGTGCCTCATCCCGTTACCTTAGCCTCTCTTCAAGTCTTACTGCATTCCACTGGCAAGGGCACATCTACAGTACCTCTATACAAGGTGACTTTGGAATAAGCGGTTATTTTCGCGGTGGTTTTATTTTTTGCAAATTTCGCGAATTGCATTTTATCGTGAATTTATGAACACACGAAAATATTGCCACCTCATCATTCCGGAGCGCGAAAATATCAGCATAATTGAACCTCTTGAATCTTGATTTGCCTAGCTAGCTAATTGCCTTAACGATGTTCTTAATTCTGTCGCTTCCCACCCCACGCGTACATTGCCCAGAATGCTCAACGCACTCACGTAATCCTTGTACTGAACAAACGTGTGTGTACTTACATGGGCCGAGTCTGTGTGTGTATGTGTGTGTGTGTTGGCGTGGCAAAAGTTTGTGTATACGTCATGCCCATTCATTAATTATGCTGTGTGCTATTCGCTAAAGTAACGACTCTAAAAAATGTCGCTTAGCCTGTCATTCACGAAAATATATGTACAAGAAAATGTCTGCTTATACTGTACTGTATCTTGGGTTCTAGAATTTAGGATGTTAACCTGTTGGCTACTGTATTCTCTCATTCTAATAGACTTAATACAGGAGCAACCCAGTTCAAGTAGGCAATGGGTTAGTTGAATGAATATAAGTTTAAGAATGTAGTGTAGATAGTACCTCTATCTTCAGTGAAAGTGCGTTGCACTGTGTAGATAGTAGTACTATCTACACAGTGTAACAAACTTTTTGCTTTTGGGGCGAACTATCTTTCATCACGTGATTTACTTTTGACCAATCGTAGAGCAAGATTCTTAGTATGTGGAATATAAAATAATGTAATATAGTAATGTAGTAATAATATTAATAATGATAATAATAATAGTAATGATATTGATAGTAAAATAAAAACAAAATAATAATAATATGTCTTTTTTATCCATTTACTTGGTTTGTTACAAAGCAAGGGGCTGTTGAAACTCAATTGTGAATAAGCATTTTCTTGTCTTTTCTCCATGTTTGTTTGTTGTGTACAGGGCTTCTTGAGTGCATCTTTAGAAGAAGCTGGTATCTTAGACTACAGCATTACAGTACTCAACAAAGTCTACCTCCAAAACCATGCTAGACTAGTCAGAGTCGACATACATGCTTTTTATAGACAGGTAACAATTTTTTCTTATTTTTTTCTTTACAGAAGATAGGTTTTCCCACCCCAAGAAAGGGTTACATTGTTTGCAACATTTATTTAATTCTGACAATTCGTCCTTGTTTTCACGAAGTGACGGTAGTGAGGAAAATCGTAACGCAAAGTGAATGCAATTTTTTTTCACTACCGTCACTTCATGAAAACAGCGACTAATTGTTTAACCAAAACGCTCCCTTTTGCTACGTTGATTATGTTGAGGATGAAGATGTTGATAATGATTATATTGATTATGGCGATGATAAGACATGTTGATGATGACAGTGATGATGACGACAGGTGATGGCAATTATGGTGATGATGATTTTGTCACTAGTCCATATCTTTATACATGTGCGTATGTCACAGAAGTGTCTGCTCTGTCATGTACGTAGGAGCTTGTAAAAACCATTTGTCCTATCGGTGCAAAGCAATGCACCTGGGGGGAGGGTTCATAAAGCTGTGCGTAAAGTTACAAATGCCTTTACAAATGATTTGAATATGAAGAGCCAAATGGGATGCCTAAAGTCTTTCCTGACATTTTAACAAAGTGTGACTGTATTTCTTATATTTTCAATTAAATTGTAGCCAAAAATACACTTTGCATTAAAATGTTTTGTTAATAATGATGAGGTTAATCTACATCTGCATATTTCAACTTTAGCTTATGCAATTGAAATGATTTGAGAATCTCATTAAGCTCTTCATATTCAAGTCGTTCGTAAATTAGTCATGCGTAACTTTACGCACAGCTTTATGAAACACCCCCCTGAAACCACGCCCACCAAACAACCTCTTCATCTCATTCTCTGTCCATCAGGTGACGATGGATTGCAGTGGATTTACCGCATGGTTCAAACAAGATGCCTCTAAACCAATCAGCTTAGCTCCTCTCAGTTCAGCTGCTGCAGGGGATTTCCCCATTCAGAAAGTGGGCAGGGCCATCAGACTCCAGTCACTGTTATCTCTTGGACTCCACCCTAATGAAAGGTAATAGTGTTAACTATGCTAAGAATTTCATGGACAGAAAGAGTTTGTAATAATGAGGTATTTGCCATGGCAGGAACAAGACGAAAGCTTCTGAATAATATAAGAGGTCGACAGCTGAGCTTCTTGGGCCATGTTATATGAAGAATGGTTTGGAAAATCTTGCACTGACTGGAAGAATCGAGTGGAGGAGGAGTAGGGATAGAAGGAGGATTCTGTTGATCAGCAGCTTAATGAGTGGGATTTCTGAATGTGGAATTGATCTCGGGGAGAATGAATTACTTCATAGAATATGGGATAGAGAGTTGTGGCACTCCATGGTCCAACGTCTCAGGATATGGCACATAGAGATGAAGTATTAACTTGCTCAGAGTAGGTGTACTCAAGATATTATGATGGGTAGGGATAAAGGGTGTGTTTGGGGGGGATGTTCTCATCGAGGATACACTGTCTAGGATTTACATTTAACTGCTGGACAGAATGTGAGTTTGGTGTCTGTACTATGATCCTTGGGAGTGTTGAATTGAATTGAATTGAATTGAATTGAATTGAATTGAATTGAATTGAATTGAATTTATTCACCACTTTCATAAAAACATATAAAGGCAAAGAATACAATAAAATATTTCTTGCAAATTGACATACATAAACAAATAAAATGGAAAATACACTTAAGGAAATTACGAAGTGGTTCGATCATCAAAAAAGTTACAGAAACTTATAGGTAGATGATCCTAAAAATGTTGATTCTTTTTTAGGATACTATACTATTATAGCTACTGTAATACTCATCACATCATCCCAAGAAACATGAGATGGATTTCAAACTGAGTTTACATATATTTATATTTCCATTCCATGAGCATATTACTAAGATCTTAACCCATTACCAACCGGAACCAGGTGGTCCATGTACATGTATTAAAGGTACTATGTCCCACTTGCAGGTCAAAAAAATGAAAAGGTTAAATTCCAACAGCATGTGAAAGACAATAATATACAGAACTTCCCTCAAAACGAAAGGGTTTGACAATTTTTTTTGTGGGAAAATAATGACTATTAGTCATCAAATCAACATAAGTGATTGCAATCACCTAAGTAATAGTCTGATTTTCAGACCCTTGTATTGAATGGTTGTACTTTTTGTGCTGCACAAAGATTCAATCATTCAAATTTGGCCATTACAAGTAGTGGGTTATTGATGTAGGCAAATGCTCATGTACCTGTTACAGCTCATTTTATGTACATGTTATTACCAAAGAAAAAATATGTCAGTCAGTCACTTAACAGTGTCTGACAGGGAAGTCTAGAAAGTGAACAGGTTTCCTTTCATAATTGGAATATTAAGACACTGCTAACGTTTAAATTTGACAGATAGGACATACATGGCATATTCATAATTCCTGCAAAGTTCTACAGAATTTGATGTTGGCTGCAAAAGGGACATATAGTACCTTTATAAGTCTATGGGCATTGGAGAATTTGAGAAGTCAGCGAGTTACCTCATTGCCTAGAGCCCACAAAGGAACCTGGCGACCCCGGTATTTCTTGTGCGATTGAGATGATGGAACTCTTTTAAGATTTTAGTTCCCTCCAGAAAACAACATTCATGTTCAAATCACTGTAAAACATGCAGAATTGAATTCCATTGATAGTTAATAAATGATTTATTATGTTATCATTTGATTCTTCTTCTTCCAGAAAACTCTTATTTAGAGAGTACCTGCAGTTGGCTGTTTACAGTAACATGTGTCCCTTAACCATCCTATGGCAGAGAGGTAGACTCCTGTACAGCCCCATCATCGATAGCACCAACCCAGACCAGCATATACCTCGTGCTGATGATAGGAGGGCCCTTGTGGAGACCACGATGGAACAGCTGGATATGAGACCATTCTCTTTCATGGAATATGGGACAGGACAAGGTGACATATAATTTTGGATGACTCTCGTTTAGAGGAAAAGGTCAAGAAAGAAAGAGCGATAAATGAAAGAAAGGGTTCTGTGCAAACAATATACCTGAATTTTTGTGCATGAAGGAATGAAGGAATTTTAGTGTCTTTTAATATTCTCTTTGCCCTTTGTATTAATTTTGTTTATGCAGTTAGTGTTTTATGTTTATGATGATTGATATATAAGGCTTGATACATGTATGTTGTAGTTTTGTACACACTATGGTATATCTACTTACAGGTAATTTGTTCAACAGTTACATGTTGTCAGTTATTTCAGCAGAAATATTTATATTATCTGAAACTTAAAGAAATAGTTGAATAACCAATTATTAGATTAGTCAGTGCCCAATAAGGTACAGTCCAAAAATAACTGATTCCTGAGGTTTATTTGTTGCTCACTACTATCTGATTTATCACATGGTAGAGGTGTTGTGGTCTAGTGGATAAGTCACCCGACTGTAGATCACAAGGTATGGGGTTCAAGTCCCAGCCCAGCATTAATGTTCTTTGGCAAGACATTAATCTACATTTGCCACCCTCCACCCAGGTGTTAGATGGGTACCTAGTAGGATGGGAACTTTAGTTTGCTCAGCATTGTGGGCGTATGTAGAATGGCCCCCGGGCTGGAATGCTCCTCAGGGAGTAAAGAATGTGCATAACATTGTGTGTGGGCAAGCCTGAATCCAATGACCTAGGTGATTTTCAGGCCCTCTCATCAATTCTAACTGGCATCCCTGTATATAATTATGTATATGCTTTGAGACATCATTGATGTATTGAGCGGAGCGCTATATAAATGTGGGATGTTATTATTATGGCGTGCTAGGACACATTTATCTGAGTAGCTATCAATCTTTGCACTCCAGGGGGGTGTTTCACAAAACTTGTCATCAGTGACAAATGACAGTTTTTGTACTGAAATACTTGCTTCTGATAGGTTATCAGCAGATTTGTCAATGATTTTAGTCATTTGTCATTGAAAAACGGCTTTGTGAAACGGGCCCCAGAAGTATATACATGTTCTTACTGAAAAAATTGCCATTCTTTTCTTCACTTCCAGATGGACTGAGCGTATCCTTAGCAACCAAGTATCCCAATAGTACTTTCATCCTGGTAGCGGGGTCACAGAGAGAGGCTGAGAGACGGCAAGATGATTTGGATACGAGGCACATCAGTAATGCTGTCGTTACCAGGATGGGCGTTGAGATGTCCTTTACCAGCAATCTGGTATCAAGTCCGGATTTCATGCGCTATCAGTATATTGGTAAGCCTCTTTAAAAATGATAATAATAGAGTACCGAAGCTGTGACATCATAAAAATCTATTTTTAGAATTTCTCAATTTTTTCTTCATTTTCCAAAAGAGCATAAAAAATAATGTCCGAATGTCGAAAACCAATTGAATATATTGAATATTGGCTGACTTATGACCATATGAATAAAAAGATGTCCTATAGGAACTCAGTGTTTATTGCTCTGGCTCGTAATGTTATGATGACGACACACTTCACCACTCTATAGTAATTCTCCTTTTCTATATATATAATGTATATCCCCTTTTTCTGACTTGTTCCCTTCTCTCCCCACTTTGTTCTATTGTCCTTCTTCCTCTGTCACCCTCTGTCTCCTTTTACGCTAATTGACGCAAATTTGACACGAATTGGCAGACTGAACTAAGCTGCAAATATTCCGATCACCAGCGGTTGTCGTTTTTTGGATGTGACAAAAGAACTCTAAAATCAATATTACAACCATCCTGATGAACTCTCTCTTAATATTGTACCAGTTACAAGAAATTTTTGCTTTGCAAATTGAGGTTTTATACATGTATGTATTTCACCTATTTACCTATTTTCACCTACTACGTGTATATCCAATTGCCCATTTCATGTAAGAACAAAATAACTGCTCTGCTCAGATGAATGTGAACTTTTATAAATGTTGTATGCATGCAGGTATGGATCAGCTGTTTACACTAATGACTATGAACAAGCCGTCTGTACTGAAATTCATGTTTGGTGATATCGTATCGACTGGAGTTACGACCTTCTTCCAGATGCCTTCTGCTCAGGTGTGTTGTGGTTTGTCCCTATTTCTTAAAGATATAGACCGGTAGTGGTAAAATTGCGTTTCAAGTGTTTTAGGTGCAAAATATCCATTCAGTATTGTTTAAATATTGCCTTCAGAGGTCAAGATGGCAAATCTTCAACCTAAATTCACAAAAAAGCAGAAATATATGCCCAAATGTTCATTATTGAAGTGCATTTGCGAGATCTATCCATATAAGCAGCCAAGTTTTGCAGTGGAAATAAGGAATGAATAAATGGATTTTTCCAAATGATTGTTGAGCAAATGTATTCTGAGAAGGAAGCTAGTAATATTTAAATTGCCTCCAGATTTTCCTTGGGCCAAGTTCAAGCTATTAAAGCAAAATCAAACCTTGATAGCAAACTTCTCTAGAAGAAAGGAGAAAAATCAGTGAAGTAGACTAGTGTAAGTTTGAATGAAATTGGACAAAAAATAAGAATTTTGTTAATTTTTGAAATTTGCAATCACTATGGGTATATGGGCTCTTCAAAGTGGCTGAATCGGTAATGTCTCTGTGACAACTTCCCCATTGTTCCAACACACAAAATTACTAAAAATTTCAATTTGTCAAAAATGTATGACTCAGGATGGTCTTTTCCGTTTAGAGGACCTGTAGTAATATGATCTCCATGATATATTTTGAGTGGTGACTGAAGGTGAAGTCACTTGAGAGAAAAACTGAAATTAGTGATATCATATCAAACGGGAGAGTAAACCGTCTCTAAAGTCACATTCCACTGACAAAATTGCCAATTTGAGATTCACATAGCTGTAGCGATCTCATATTTCAAACATTCATAACGTTCTTGTTATTGGTCCTACGAAACTTTCGCCATTATATGTGTCTTATATTTCTGATTTCATATAAAAGAATGAACTTATTATAATGGTTCGATTGTCCTTTAAATGTTTCCTTTTATTCCTATTTGCACAGATGTTCTCCTTGGCAATATCTACCCTCTACCCAGAGATCCTCTGTAATTTCAAGGAAACCGAAAGTATGGTTAGTATATTGTTGCATTACATCCATACTTCTTACTTCATATATGCTGTAATATTGATGACATTTGAGGAATACTGGTACACTTGGGATACATCAGGTTTAAAGGAATCCAGTAACTTTGTCTCAGATTCTGAAAAAACATCCTGGATTTAGCTCATGCTGCAATGATATATATACCTTTAGGTCAGTCAGGAACACCATGACTTTTACAAACCGATCGCCTGTCTGATTATCAAGATATTTATGATTGAAATATATCAATTCATAGTCCTTCCAAGGTGTAATTTGACTTGTTTGACTGGCTGGTTGTTGACCACCCTGGGGACATACTAGATGGTATAAAGGAGAACTATTTTAGAACCTTTTACATTTACATGTAGTTGATATGTTCATGTGAATGTAGCATAGTTAGTAAGATTACATTCATGGTTATGAGTTATATCTTTTGTTTCTCTCTTTCTTACTTTGATTAATACAGGACAGTTTCCAAGCCAGCAGCCATCCTCTACCTTTATTCAAAAATTTTGAGCTCAGGCTTTTGAAAGAGGTAATTAAGTAAAGTTTATATATCATTGGTTGAAATTAATTGAATGTATTTGAATGTAATTGGATGTATTTGAATGTAATTGGATGTATTTGAATGTAATTGGATGTATTTGAATGTAATTGGATGTATTTGAATGTAATTGGATGTATTTGAATGTAATTGGATGTATTTGAATGTAATTGGATGTATTTGAATGTAATTGGATGTATTTGAATGTAATTGGATGTATTTGAATGTAATTGAATGTAATTGAATGTAACTGAATTTGCATGTAACTTTCATGCCAAATGTTATTATACTTCTTCTGTGTACAGCTAGTGTACCACATTTCCATAATGAGCATTATTCTGATTTTGGGGCTTCTTTTGAGAGCAAAGTCAAGTTGCAAATGTTTTCATGCAATAGATTACCCACGTACACGGTGCTACAATAATTCAATTTGGAGGCAACAGTTGCAACCTCCATATTTTATGATAGACAATTGACTTCACTTGGAGTGAGGGGCAATGGCTAGTTGCTAGAGCACCGGGTGGTCTCGTCACCAGGAGGTCCTGGGTTCAAAACCAATTTGATGCGCTAGTTCCCTTTGGTAAGGCATTAATCCTTAATCCTTAATCCTTAAAGCCGTCGGTCCCCTGGTTTCTTACTTACAAGTATATACATGCTTTTTATCAGTCAGGAAAAACAAAGAAATCAACCAACCAACTTGCAGTACATTTGCCTGCGATAAGTATGTGTAGCAAGATTACCTCCAATTGTAGAAGTGTATCAATATGCCTGAGAACTGTAAAAAGGATAATAGTCCTGTTTGTGTAGTACTAGATACTATGTTTCTACGTGCTTTACATTTGTAATTATTATTACCCTTACATTGTAAATGTGCATGTACATAAAGTAAATTTATGAAGCAATAGGCTATCTGTAGTATATCTATAGTATATCTGTAAAGCGCTTAGAGACTTTGGGTGGTATTCTCATAAGTTAAGCCGGGACTAAGTCCAGACTAAACAAGAATTTTAGTTCACACTTCTATGGAATGCTAGGTATCATCTTCCTCCTTCAATATTCATGACAAAGATAATCTACCAAAGACTTTGTTGAAATTCACTTCATACTCATATTAAATTTTTCTTCCCATTACATTGCAGAAATAATTTGTTTTCATTGCAGGAATAAAATAATCTGTACAGGATAAATGAGTTGGCAACAGGCACTCCATAAAAGTGTGGACTGAGTTAAGCCAGGCTTAACTTAGTACGTGTTACCGGATTACCACCCATTGTACTAAGCGCTATTTAAAAGTGGAATATTATTATTATTATTACAACCTTTCTGTGATCTTTAATTTCCATAGAACATTGAATTGCAAGCCGGAAAGGTGAATTTATCAGCTAGTGTGATCCACCCTCAACCCAACCCAGACGGATCTCAGCGGGGATGGAGCATGGTTAGGATGGACGTCAGACAGCTAAATGTCATGGTAAGAGATTGGACATAACCCCCCTCCCCCACTCCCCCACCCCTACTCCCACCCCACTCCCCCACCCCCAATCCTTGACAATTACCTACAGAACAATCACATTAGCCCCAGAAAGCTAAGGAAGTAAGCTACCATTTATACAAGTTAGGCCATTTAATTTCACTTATTCAGTTATTCCCTTTCTCCTCTTTGTTACTGTAAGTTATAAGAGATGATAAAGCAGGCCTTTGTGTTTTAGTCAAAAAAAGGTATTTATTATACAGCAATGCAAAAAACATGTGCCTAGCTATCACAGAGAGAACCTGTTTATTTGTTCGATCTTTGAATTAATTCTCGTTAAGTAATGTATATATTTGAGGTTTTGATATTCAAAGTGGCTCTTGGTTTGTTAATCTGTATTTTCATGATAAATGTTATTTGAGGGTAGATTATCATTTCATTGAGGAACAATACTATATTTTGTGCTTTTAATCTGTATTTTCATGATAAATGTTTGATGTTGTCATTGAAGGTGGATCATCATTTCATGTACGTTTTGGATGGACACAAGCGCAAGTACTCCCTTCATTGTGAATCCAATGCTACGCACTATGAGGTCTATCTTGTCAGAGCTCACGATGGTTTCAAGATTCCTTACCAAGAGGTTAAAGGTGAGTCCCCTTCATTCAAATCCATTCATTATAATCCACTGTACATCACTATGCGTCGTAGTCGAGTGGTTTAAGCACTTGACTTGAAATTCAAAGGTCCTGGTTAGATCCCCGATATGGCACTAATATCCTTTGGCAAGGCATCAATCTTCATTTGCCACACACGACCCAGGTGATGTAAATGGATACCTGGCAGGAATTAATGCCTTGAAACGCCGGCGCGCTGTAATGGCAGCTAGGCTTAAGCCAGGGTAATAATTAATGCGCCTCAGAATAAAATTTCTAGATAGACATCGCTATAGAAATGCCTATTATTATTATTATTATTATTATATTCGGGTCAATGTAACTTTATAATATTGTATAACCTAAACCATTTCCCTGAACATTTTATAGCTTTATTTTGTGACAATCATTTACCCCTTGGTACTGGAGCTTCCAGTACTAAGTTGAGACTAATTGGAGCTTACCTACCAGTGTAACAGACAATTCGATGTTCCACTCCATTATTGAGTATATTTGCTAAATGTTCATATCATGAAACATGTTTTTAAAAAAAAGTTATTAATGTTTTTAATATACAGATAAATATACTCTGTTTGTATCTAAATGTTTGATAATTAGGCACAAATGTACTATGGAACCTGTATTACAGGTATCTCCTTGATAATTATTATTATGAAATGTCTTTGTATCTATATTACAGGTATCTCCTTGATAGCTCTGTTGAGGCTGGGACTCCTCCCACAAATCAAAGAAAACTTCTACAATCAGTTCTTGAGACTACCACTATACAGTGATATGGCTCCATGGAACATATGTAAGTTTTTTTTTTTCATTGCTGATATTTCAAATTTCAAAGTCCAAGCTATATAGCCCCCACATGAATATTAATCATAATAATAATGGTGGCTTCTTTTACATGTATAGCGCACATGTCCGCCACATCGTGATGCTCCTGGCGCTGACCACTTCCTAGATTTCAGTATATCTGAAGACTGTCTCGAGCTGATAGCTATGCCCTATTAGAACTTCAAACCGACGAGACATGTGATAGAAAATTGGTTTTATGTCAAGTTACATGGATGTTCAAAGTTTTGTAATAAAAATACCTTGTACTTGCAAATGAATTTATACTGTGATTTGTGGGATCTGTTTTCATTACTATACCGTAGTAGGACTGTGATTCAGATTGGGTATCTTTGTCTCAGATTCTAAACAAAATCATGGATTTAGCTCATGCTGCAATCATAATTATAAACCTTTAGGTCAGTCAGGAATCCCATGACTTTTACAAACCGATTGCCTGTCTGATTATCAAGATGTTTATGATTGGAAATCGAGATTTCAAAAACTGTTTTCCGAACGATTGTTATAACACTACAGTCTATTTGGGAGCGCAATTTTTGTAGGGCTTCAATATTACACCAAAACACTGATAACACGTAGGGCCATGCAATATAAGACTTAACATTGTTAAATGATGCCTTTGATAGACGTAATGTAATCAATTTTAATGCACAAATATTTGTTAAGTGTCTTGTTACAAATTGTTAAATTCACCTGTTATGTATAATTTTATTTCAATAGTCATTATAGGACAAGCCATAATGCTTGTCCTCCCTAGCAACAATTAATGTATGCAATTTTCATCTCTCCCTCTCTCCCTCTATCTCTCCCTCTCTCCCTCTATCTCTCCCCTCTCCCTCTATTTCTTTCTCTACTCTACACTGTATCTCTGTCTCTCTCTCTCTTTGTCTCTATCTCTGTCTCTTTCTCTCTTTGTCTCTATCTCTGTCTGTCTCTCTCTCTCTCTCTCTCTACTCTTTCTCTCTCTTTCTATCCCTCCCTCTCTCTATCTCTCCCCTCTCTCTCTCTCTCTCTCTCTCTCTCTCTCTCCCTCCCTCCCTCCCTCCCTCCTTCCCTCTCTATCTCTCTCTTATGATATGTAGTATTTGCAGGAGGACAGTTGGAGTACATTGACTATGACACCAAACAGATGACTCTTGATAAAGTAGCTCCTGCAGCCTATCAGGTAATAAGTGAAACAAATGTTATCTAATTCCATGTATGAACGGACCTATCATGATGCAGCTCAGTTTAAAGGACATTTTTCACACTTAAAGGGGAAGTTCACCCTCATATAGAGTACCGAAACTGAGACATCATAAAAATCTATTTTGGAATTTCTCGATCTTGTCTTCATTTTCCGAAAGAGGATAAAAAATCATGTCCAAATGCTCTGGCTCGTAATGTTATGAACCAAAGCAAATAACACTGAGTTCCTACAGGAAACTTATTTATTCAGATGGTCATATCTCAGCCGATAGTAATACATAACATATTCAATTGGTTTTTGACATTTAGACATTATTTTTGATGCTCTTTCGGAAAATGAAGACAAAATTGAGAAATTCTAAAAATAGATTTTTGATGACGTGACACTTCACCACTCTATTGAGTTTGTTTTGGTAGAAGCAGAAATTGAAAGGAACAGGTCTTGAGCATACAACAATCAATCAAACACAAATTGGCAGCTCTATGACGTATTTTGCATGCTCCCCTCCCATTTGCCCTGTACTTAAAAATGTACTTATGTCAGTTTGATCAGTACTGCCAGTTAGTGATTTACCGGTAGTAAGTTTGCGATTGCATGTCGACGTGTATATAATTTCTATCCTGATTTTGTCACTATAGCTGGGACAGGATTTATCAAAGGGTACTATTTTGCATATTATATGATGCACTATTTTTAGGAATGGGTGTAAGAGAAGTGCATCGTATGCGCAAGAACAGTTCCATGTACTTCCAAAGCCCTTCTCTGCTCTATAATCCTCTTACATTATACATTATCACCATGAACTTTCACTGAAGTAAAATAACTAGTAATATACACTCAGGCACTCTTCTTAATCATGAGCACGCAAAGTAGGGATGTGTTCTTTGTGATACCCTCTGTATAATCCAGCTTTTAATAAAGAGTGTCCATTCTAAGTCAAGTCCAAGGGGCGTGCTAAACTGGCCTCCATTGTTCTTTGTTGACAACATGGAGGTTTAAAGGTCACTTAATCCTATAACTTAACAAGTTCTTATAAATGAGCTGCCATTATAGCTCTGTACTATCTTGAGGGTATTATGTGCATAAATTACATTCAAACTCAGATCTTACCAATTGTGGTCAGTGCTTCAAATTTTGCTAAGACCTAATCCCTTGATCTACTTAAGGCTTGAGCTTAGGTTGTGTTTTTCATCATGTATACAGTATGGGAAAGTGATTGACTTTCTTACTGTCAATGCCCAAGCTTCCTCATCCAGGGAGTTACTTAAGCCAGTCTTTTGTGTCTCTCCTAGTAATACTCAAACAATAGGAGTCACATGACACCATGCAGCTTTGTGTTCATTCATTCCTAGCTCTCATGTATTGTTATTCACTTGTACATACATGACCACACACACTATACCTGTACTCTTCAGGGAATCGGGTCAAGAAAAGGAAAACCTGAAATAAACATAATGGGTGGTATTCTCGAAAGCAGACTAAATTTAGTCCATGGTTTAATCCTCCGACTAAGTATGCCAAGTGTCCATATAGATATATTTTTGAATAATTTTATATGTTCCTAAATTACCATGATAACATAATTATTTCTTAGTTATATTGTTGTTTATTATTTATGTTATTAAATTTTATTTTAATTTAGTGACAGATTAAATTATTCAAAAACATATTCATATGGACACTTTGCATTCCATACTTAGTCGATGGATTGAACCATGGACTAAAGGTAGTCCGCTTTCTTGAATACCACTTTAAGAATCGCACCCAATCAAAATGTAGACTGAGAAACCCTCCCTTTGAGTCTTGATATTTAAGACACTATACATGTCTAGAGTGTGTTTTCATTTTCACTGAGACATGGGAGTGGTAATGGGTGATAAACATAGAACCATGTATGTAATATGCTGATATACATCTTCCTTTACACATATATTGATCATAAATATTTTAATGCTTGGTATTAAAGCCCCACTGTACTACGTATAGCTACTTGCGCCCTCTATATAGCAAACAATGCATAATCGATGCCTGTTGGTCCCCCATGATCCCCTTTTTCTTATGTTTTTGTTATGAGAGCTGATTTAATGAGATAACCACCTGTCAGTGACCTTACAGGGAGGTCTAAGACCTCCCCCCCAAAAAAAAAAAAAAAAAATATATATGGTGAGAGCTGCTTCTCCCTCAGTGATATTACCCCCCCCCCCCCTCCCCACCACCTGTCAGGGATCAAGGCAACTACCAGTATAATATCAGTCTAGATATTTTTTTGAAGTAAGAATAATTCACTTCTTCTTCTTCTTCTTCAAGATAATCTGCCTCCTTCAATACTGAAGATTCTTGCAGATGCCGTATACTCGGCATAATTTAAAGAACATTTTTCTTGTAATTCTATTTTGTGATGTATTGTAGATAATGGCCATGCTGCTGAACTACAGAAGGACTGTAGATGACTTTGGACACTGTAATTTTAATGGAAGGTGAGAAGATAATGTTTTTTAGGGGGGAAAATTCCGCCAAAGATATTTCAAATTCTATGTTTAGGTTATCAAGATTAGGCACAATCACAGAATTACATATATCGTCGGCCGGCTGGCAGAAGTGCGTTAGCGCGCAAGCGACTCAAAAACTATTTTTCAAATTACTCGCTTTTAAAGATTTGTTTTATATTTAAACTGCTTTCCGTCCCGAAAATTGGTTTAAAACTTAAAAGACTAATAGAAATGTTTTAGTAGAACACAGCCACATTTTTTGTGTGGAAATAAGTCGGTTTTATAAAAGTTTGAGATGATTTAGTGCTAATGCCCTTCTGCTTAACGTTTCATTTTTGACCTGAAATTCGAGCTAACGCCCTTCTGCCAGCCAGGCGACGATATCTTTCATGGATGAATATTATGGCGATAACCTTCTTTTTTTTTTTCTACTAACCTCTACAGAAGGCGAATGACCAGGTGAATTTGTCATTACTAGTGGATATCTAACAATCTTTAGAAAGATGGTGTCCTGGAAACTTCTAGTAGGCCTATATTTTTCAAGCAGATTCAAAAATGCAATTCAACCATCATCAATTTTCACTCCAAACAATTTTATGAGCACTGTTGAAGTGAAATGTATTCATCATGGCAATGTCATTTCCTTGGTAAAAGCAGATGTATTTTGATGTCGAAGAGTCAAAACATTGTGGTTATGAACAATTTAATGATTCATAATGATTCAAATCCACGCGCATGACAAAAGTCATCATAGTCGGACCGACGATCTGATTGCGCCACACTGCCAACGAGGGGGTGTTTCACCGTACAAAGATCCTAAGTCGAACTTGACTCTAAGTTGGACTTACCGGTATAAATTATGAAGAGCCATTTGTAGCGAAAAATCAAGTATTTTAGACTTTTTATGAATTCCACATCATTGATTTGAATCAACATTTTATGCCTTTTAAAATAACTTATAAGAAATATTTGTAGAGATGCTAACAGCTTTCCATAATTGTTCAGTCCAACTTAGAGATTAGTTCAACTACGGATCTTTGTGAAACACCCCCTCGTTGGCAGTCTGGTCATTATCATTATACAACTTTCTCTCCCTTTCTCATCAGGAACCCATATGGTTTTGACCTAGTTTCTCACTGTGTTGGGAATAGCTACGAAACACCGTGCACGGATGAACGCTTCCCTGTAGCCTGCGCTGACCAGACCTGTCGTGGTAACTACATTGAGTGTCTGAGAGCCCTTAGTGAGATTGAGCAGAAACACAGTGGAGTCAAGGCAGTGGGTAAGTACATGTACCTGTCCAGTCAGTGTGGGGTTGTTCACATGGATAGTTACTTATCTCCTTGTATTAAAGGGATCCGGTAACTTTGTCTCAGATTCTGAAACAAAACCCAGGATTTAGCTCATGCTGCAATGATAGTTATAAACCTTTAGGTCAGTCAGGAACCCTATGACCTTTACAGGCCGATTGCCTGTCTGATTATCAAGATATTTATGATTGGAAATCAAAACCAAATTTTGTGCTTGCCTAACGGTTTTCATAACACTACAGTCTATGGGGAAAACGAGTATGGTAAAACCGGTCACTCAAATATTTTTACTTTTTAAGGCACTTCTTGATCATTTTGAAGCGCAGATTTGTTACGATTTGTTAGGGCTTCAATATTACACCATATCACAGACACTGATAACACATAGGGCCGTGCATCTCAGATTTAACATTGTTAAACAATCCCTTTAAAATGATGCAATGAACTGGTTATGCCATTTTGGGAACCCTCAAATGTACAGGAATGGTAGAAAAAGTTTACATAACTAAGGATGTTGCAGTAATGTTCATGCGCATCTTAGCTTCACAGGCCCAGTTGGTTATAATAATAATGATAATAATAGTGGATATTTTCATAGTGCACATATCCACCACACAGGGTGCTCAAGGCACTCCAATATTACCCCCGCTCTGATAGGCTACCGATAACAGAAGCGGTGAGTGATCGAGCTCTGAAAATCTCAAATAAGAAGCTTTGGTAAATTGAAGAAAAAACCTCTGGTAAAAAAACCCAAACCACTAATACCGGTAGATACCACTGTTTAAACTAATCAAACTTTAAAGATAAACTTGAGCTCTGGTAAAAAAAAGAAAATGAATTCTCACAGAATCAAACAAAACTTACACTGAATGTTCAAGATTACAAATGAATGACATGTGCCAAACAATTTTGGTAGAACATGTATACTGGCTGAGTAATGAGCATAGAAAGATAAGGAAATCAACATAAGTAGGCCCGACACCATTTGTGTAGTCACATATACATCTTTCTGTGTACAGTGCTTGTTACTTAACCAAGATTGGGCCAAATTTATTTTGATTTTGATGACTCCAGAAACCTTGCAGTACACACCAATACTTACATGCTACATGATCAACTTTTCCTGATCCATTCCACACCTTTTCTTTCACAATGCAATCGCATGACCAAAACTCAACTTTATCTTTAAAGTAGATATTCATTGATTTTAAAAACTAACTTTATTTTCATTATTGCAAAGTTGAAACTTTGATTCGACAAGGTTATCAAAATTCAATGCTTGGAAACATTCAAAGTAATGATTATTATAAATTACAAAACGCTTAAATACAGCCCCGGCATACCACCTGAAGAGCTCTCCGAACGCTGCTGAGATGTGTGAGATCACAGTATGGACATGATTTGCACAAGCAGACGATGTCCCATGACATCTCACACATTTTCAGTGCCTGTGTTTTCATCTTCTCTTGAGTTCTTTCTCTTACTTCACTACCCTCAGGCTAAATGTATAATACATTGCCTCACTCTAAACCCCTTGCATGGTTTTATTTTGATGACAAATGCAGCGATACAAAAATAAAGGAATCTGTCGCTTGTAAACAAAATAAGACGCCATTGTATATTCAGCTGCACACACCGCGGTATGTTCGGCATTTCAAGAGGGAACAAATGCCGTCCTTAATATCATTCTGGGGGGTTTTCAATTAGAAAGTCTGGTTTCTTTGATTGTTAATTAACCCCTATCCTGTGTATTTACAAGCAAAAGATTTTAGTTATCAGAATCGGGTCATATCCCCTTTTGAATGGTTTGACATGTCATTACATTTATATACACTAAACTCATTATAATTTGACAAATAATAGCTTTGCAATTATGTTCATTCTTGATGGGATGTCGTCTGCTTGGGCAGTAATGGTCCATATAGTGACGTCATTAAAACATTGTTATTTTCCGGCGAATCTCTCGTATATCCCAGCTGCTATGGAGGTGGTTGTATTTGTATTTTTATAAATCACTGGATATGTAGTTGACCTAAAAGTTGTACGGTGGCCATCTGTTAGCTTACCAGTTTCTAGTGATACATTAGTTGACATATTTGTGATTTTCTTTGAATTTCACCTTTAATATACAACACTAAATCCTAAAAGAGAAGTCCCTGAACACAAAAGCATTTTTTTTTTTTTTTTTTTACTTAGGAGCCAAAATATTGCAGTTTCTACATTTATTCGCAAGATTATCTTCCATTAAGCATTGCAACAGAATTATGAAATCTGTAAAGCACTATACAGCTGTAAATCCAGATTTATTTTCAAATATTTCTTTCCAAAATAGTTTAACTTAGTACCAAATGCAATTTTATTCATTATATATATATATATATATGTATATAATATACCGGTAGATATATTTTGATATAACGATTAAAACAATTGAAACAAAAATCCTTGAGCGTTCACTTCTTCACTATGCAGGTTTAATTGTTATTTCTTCAAATTGTCAAAATAAAATTGAAACTGGTCATATAGTGAAGAAGTGAACTTTGAAGGATAATTATTTCAATTGTTTAACTATTATTAATCGTATATTACTGTGATGGATGACTATCCAAATTGAATTATTTTTTTCTATAATTATGCAATTTAAAATATTGAATTTGGTATGTTTTAAAATTGCATTTGGTTCACACAAGAAGTTATATTATTTGCCAAAAGATGTAATATATTATTTTTTCTTTTTCTTTTCTAGGAGGTTCTGCACAGAGCCATTCATTGAGCAAAGTATTACTAGATCAGAAGACTGCATCTTATCAAGAAAACATTGAGACAGAGGAAAGACTGGAACTATCTTTTAAAGGACAGAGGTAGCATGACGGATGGATTCCTAAGATAAGAGATGATCACCAGTCTGCTATAGGGGAGAGACTGGAATCATCTCTTAATTAGCAGTTGGCGACATGTAGAAGGGATGTTTTTTTTTTAAAGAGATAATTACCGGTCTGCATAGGAGACACAGGAACCATCTTTTTAACCAAACTATGGGTCGCAAGGGCGTGATATTTATTGAATAGATGATCACCAGTCTTAGATGGGGAGAGAATGGAACCATATTTTTGACGACACTACAGGACAGGTAGGATGGTGCTTTTTGTTAGAGATGATCACCAGTCTACCATGGGGAGAGACTGGAACCATATTCTAAATAAACATTAGGGCCTGGGAGGATACTGTCCTATTGGAGTATATGATCACCAGTCTATTGAAGTTGATAGGTTTGTTTGGTACATTGCATGTCAATATATTATACTTAAAGTGAAGAATGGTGTGAGTGTGTCAATTATTTTGAAGTTCATCAGAGAAACTACCAATGGTGCCTTTCAAGTTTGATGATGGAAATACTTGAAATGTCTGATGAAATTTCAAATTATTTCAATTCCTTTCATGTTCATGAGGAATAGAGGAATTAGGAGGATTTTACATATTGAAAATCAAATTTATAGGATTTATTTTTGTACTATTCTACTAAATTTATTTGATGTCAGTTGACGGGTGTTGTATGATAAGTGAAGTATTGGTATTGGATTCTTCAGGATTTATGTTCTTCATCACTCTGAGTAATATATTTTTACAAATTCTAGTTTTTCAGTTTGGAGTGATCAGTGCCCATGATTGGCTAAAATTATTTTATCTACATGTAGGGTTTAATTTATAATTAATAGTAGCCTAATTTATGATTATGTGGTGCCAACTTGCAAAGCTAGATGTATGTTCAAGCTAATAAATGCACAATAATCAGAAAGTTTTGAAGAGGTTAAAAAGTAAACGTTTTCTTTGAATCATGTACTATGAAAAGCTTTGAACAGCTTGCTATGGAATGTTCACATCTTTGAGAATTTTGTGACCATTCTTACTAATTAACTCTTTATCTATGCAGGTACATTTCTTTTGTTATGGCGGATTTATTCAGTACTTGATATCTTATGGATGAAATAATTTCCAAAATTGCGATTCTCAAATGAGGTGCTAGGATATTTTAAAGGAGAAGGGAATGTCTCTATACATGTAGTCCCACAGAATAGGCCATTTTCATAATGTAATCACATTTAATGCACAAATCTTTGTTAACCTGTTGACTACTGGATTATCTTATTCCCATAGGCTTAATACAGAGACCGCCCGGTTCCAGTAGGCAAAGGGTTAAAGGGATCGTTTAACAATGTTAAATCTGAGATGCACGGCCCTACGTGTTATCAGTGTCTGTGATATGGTGTAATATTGAAGCCTTAAAAAAATTGCGCTTCAAAATGATCAAGAAGTGCCTCAAAAAAGTAAAAATCTTTGAGTGACCGGTTTTACCATACTCGTTTTCCCCAATAGACTGTAGTGTTATGAAAACCGTTTAGTAAACGGTTTTCAAATTTTGATTTCCAATTATAAATATCTTGATAATCAGACAGGCGATCAGCTTGTAAAAGTCATGGGGTTCCTGACTGACCTAGTGGTTTATAATTCTCATTGCAGCACAAGCTAAATCCTGGATTTTTTTTCAGAATCTGAGACAAAGTTACCGGATCCCTTTAAGTACCTCATTACAAATGTTGTCATTCACCTGTTACGGATAATATGTTTCAATAGTCAGAATGCAAATTGCATACATTAATTGTTGCTAAGTAAGACAAACATTATGGCTTGTCCTATCTAAGTATTTGCAATACATGTATGCAATTCACATTCTGACAAATTGAAATACAATTATTTGTAAGAGGAGAATGACCTAATTTGTAACGGGGCACTTAACAAAGATTTGTGCATTTAGTTTGATTACATTACGAAAATGGCCTTTTGTTTCAGTGAGGTGAGGCTGAATAACCGTATAAAATGTACAAACTGAACTAGCTATCAAGAGGAGGCACTATGGCTTAGTGGTCTCAAAACTGGGAGGTCCCAGGTTTGAAACCAAGTCGATGAGCTATAGTGCCCTTTGGTAAGGCATTAATCATCATTACCAGGTCCTCAGAGAGGACTTCAAACCGTTGCTCCCCTGGTTGATTACTTACAAGCATATACATGCTTTCTTAGCAGTCAGGTAAAACAAACAAAGAAAGAAATATAAAATAAGGCACAACCAGCCTCCCTACATTCCTACTTACCGGTATATGAAAATGTGCCTCAACAGAATAATCCAGGGACGAAACCAGCCTACATATTTTATATAGTTTATTTGAAAGCTGGTGAACTATGAAATTGTATTTTCTTACTTATACCATGAGGCTATCTATACAGCCTTCTATGTGTACCGGTATGTATATTATATTTCTCAGGTATTTGTACTTTTAACAAATTATTCTTCATATAAAAATACTGACTGGATGACTTACGCAAGCGCTATGGTACTGGGTGTACCTATTTTCATAGTATGTTTTTGTATATTTCTATATTATCATTGTATTGATACAATTTAGCAATGTCTATGCAGCTTCTATTTTACTAAGTCTACTATATATTCTTTACAGTGCTGCTGTATATCACTGTTCACAGTGTATTATTTAACACCAACATGAATGATAATGAGAGAAAGCCTCCTCCATTGTAGAAGGTCAAGGTATCATAGCAATACTGAAGATTTTTTGTAAAAAATTCATACATTATAAATGATTTTTTCATTGATAGTTTTGATTCTGTTTCTGAATCTTGACGTGTGATGGTAATAATTTACAGCTATTATATATCACATATTACAAAAGGTCCTGTCATGATGTAGTTTATTGATTTCAAAAGCAATAATATAATGAATTACAGGTGAAAACAAGAAAAAGGTTTTAATTTTCAAAAAGTAAATTCTCACTCACCAACAAAAAGCTATATTATATTATTAGTGAAAACATAGACTAAAACATTTATAACAACTTTATATTTATACCTCTGATATTCATAACATGTTTCACGCTTATGGCAGCTTATTTTGCACTTGCATGTGTCAAGACTAGAATATTACAGATTTGTAATTATCAATTTCCTATATTTTAGGGGTGGAGTAGATTGATAGCAATATGGTTTTCTTCTCGGGGTATGAAACAATTTGGCAATAATCTTCTTTACCATGTTCTATTGTGTGAAACAATATTCTTGCACCATATTTCAGTATTCAATAGATTTTATAGTGTTTTCTTCTCTATAGTTCTATATTTCTTGTGATAGTAGTTAGTACTATCTTTGTTATAATACTACTTCCTACTTAAAGTACTATCTTCTCTGTTATAGTACTATCGTCTTTGTTATAAAACTTTATATAACACCTATGTAGATCCTTGTCTTTTGATTGGAGGATTGTTGGTCACATGACATTCAATAGATAATCTATTGAACGAGCGTACATTTTGGGCTATAATCGCAGTGCAGTTATTGTACTATTCAGCCTGCATTTTTGGTTTTGCCCTGCGCTTATCCAATTGTTTTCATTGTCTTAGCTGCGCGCATCTGATGCGAAGGCAATCTGAATGTAATCAAGAAGACCTGACTCCACATTTAATTTATTATTAATTGAAGGAGGAAAGCATAATTCGTTAAAAGGTTAACATTCCACTTGGATGTTAAAACAAATAATGAATGTTTTTCATTTGTTGAAATATTAATTTTCTATTCAACTTGGCTGACGCCGCGTTGAATAGGATGTTAATCTTTCAACTCATTAAAATATATGCACTATTGAACTCATAAACATTCATTTTTTTGTATATCCCTGGTAATCTCTTTGTTATAGTACTATCTTAAAGTACTATCTTCTTTGTTATCTCCTTCTTACGATTCGTCAAAAGTAAATCATGTGATGAAAAATAGTTTAGCCCATCAATCACCCTGCGGTATTTTGTGTTTCGCTGATCTCTCAATTTAATAGCTTTGATCCATAGAGTTAAACAAGGCGCATATTCACTATTTGGAGTATATGTGAAATGAAAGTGTGTTGCACTGTGTACTATCATTGATAAAAGTGCGTTGCACTGTGTACTATCTTGAATAAAAGTGTGTTGCACTGTGTACTATCTTATAGTATAGTATAGCGCACTAAACAAAAACAAAAATTAAGAACACACATGCACGCACCCAGGAGGGGTTGGGTTAAAACTTAAACTTTTTTTGTGTGAATTTGGGCCGAGGTGTCATTCATGTAGATGAATACACGTCCTTAATTTCTTTCTGTACCGTAGTTAAATTGTTTCAGATGTGGAATTTAAAGCAAATAATCACCTTTTGGTTTAAGGTGGTGGAAAACTATCCCTTCCTTGGCGATCTGAATATATACGCTATCTATCCTCAGCTTGGCTTAAGAAAGATAGCTACATCCAGATCGCCTCGGAAGTGATGGTTTGTCCCATCACCTTCACCACCGGTAATTATTTGCTTACTATCTTTGTTGTAGTATTATCGTATTCATAGTACTTTCTTCTGTTTATATTAGGAAGTTGTGCAGCTGATGATGCAAGATGCAGTACATGACTGTTTTATTTAAAGCACTTTATTTCAAACAAGTATACCTTTATAAGAACTTTTGAAGAAATTTAAACGGGTTGAATGATGTTATTATTGCTTTTTACTTCTGTTTACTACTGTTTATTTCATTTCGTATATATATATATATATATATATATATTTGTACTGAACAAATCTGCTGCAATTCTCGCTACCCCAAATAGCGATTCTGCCGAGATCCGGGGAAAATCCTGAAAACGCGCATTGCATTATGGGATAGCTTTTCGACATTACAGCTTCCTGTGCAGGCGTTCGTGATCACAACCCTCTCTTTCACGGTAGAGTTTAACGGCCTTTTGTGCTAAAGTCACTAATTCTGCCCGAAGCTTTCCATTGCATATTATAATCTGTACAAATTACACTGATTGGCATCGATTTTAGAGTGCGTGAAAACTCTGCACAGCGAACACAGGCGCTAGCGCCAGCGGGATGGGACTCTATACCGGAAGTTGTAGTGACGACCCGAGAGAGTGAAAATTACCTCGTCTCGCGAATTTCGAGATTTTCGTACCTATTTAGGGTAGCGAGAATTGTCTAGTCATACAATCTTCTTCCCAAATTAAAGCGTTTTTGTTTGTACAAGAAACAAACTTGTCTATTTTGAATCATGTTGCAAGCTTGTTTTCAATTTATGAATTTCCCTTTTTTTTAAATTCTTTACTGGACGTGTAAATTGTATTCATTCATTCATTTATTCAAATTTGTGATGGAAGAAAATATGGAAACCTTAAATTTTGACACAGTTTTTCAATCATGGACATCTTTTAATTCATTTCTCAATGTTTTTCAATGGTATACAATGTGTAACATGATAAGCATGTTGTTCACGTTCCTACTCTCATATTGCTGTTATGTGTTTGCAGCTACAATTATTTATATTTATATATTTTCTTCACATGTGTGCATGTATGTAATCATCAAAGATCAAAGTCACCCTCTCAACACCCAGTATTCTTTCAACCGTTCTGGAATTCGATTAAACGTCCCACGCACAAACCGAGCACGCTTCCGCCTTCGTACCAAACTCTATCCACATGTTCAACCAACTTGTTAAGAGATATGTTTTAATAATAATATTAATAATAATAATAATAATAATAATAATATTAATAATAATAACAATAGCAATGATGATCATAATTATTTGAATTTATAAACTGTTATCATAAAGCTATTTCAAAGATATTTTTAATCATCTAATCAAGTTTAACAATTTTGGATGGCTTAAACAATTTTGTATTATTGTATTTATCGTATTATTGTAATGCTGGTGGAAAGCATATTTCCACATTGTGGACGAATAAAATAAAATAAAAAAAATTCGTTTGTGAAACTTCATTCATGTAATGTATTATGTATTGATAGGATGAAAGTAGATATTCTTCAATTTTCTTTTTAAACTCCTTATACAGAGATTTGTCAGATTATGATCAAGACTGCATTTTTAAAGAAATAACTTTATATCACAAATCAGGAGGTACTTCCCATATACAATTAGCCATGCAGTCCCTAGCATACACATTCAGGCCATAGGTTCCCTGGAATTCATATTGTCTGTTTTCCCCTTGCACTCAAGTAAAATAATCCAACAATGAGGTTATTGATTTCTTAATTGTGTTTGCTCACTTAGTTTAGCACTTTGTTGTACATATATTTCTAACAATTATTTATGAAGACATATATCATATAATCAATACGATTGACATGAATGTAATTTTTTGAGTTGGACACATTTTTGCTGTGTGCCTTGTGGATGTGCATATATTTAATGAGGTATCATATGAGTGCATTCTGATTGTAAGATCATTGAAGTCGTAGAGGGCCTGGCTTTGTTGCCTTACTATTTTTGGAGGTGCTTTTAAGAAAAACGATTTGAAATACATGAGATGAAAGTAAATAAACTATTGTACTGGCTCATGCAGGAAAGAAATGTGCTAGTAGAAATCTCTTTAATTACATACATTTCAAAAGCAAATAAAATATAAATATTATCCAGAAAATGCAGAAAAAAGGACATCAATCTGAATGTAAAACCATTGTGGTTGTCAGAGGGCCTGCTTTGTTGCCTTACTATTTTTGGAGGTGCTTTTAAGAAAAACGATTTGAAATACATGAGATGAAAGTAAATAAACTTTTGTACTGGCTCATGCAGGAAAGAAATGTGCTAGTAGAAATCTCTTTCATTACATACATTTCAAAAGCAAATAAAATATAAACATTATCCAGAAAATGCAGAAGAAAGGACATCAATCTGAATGTAAAACCATTGTGGTTGTCAGAGTTAGTCTTACTCCTTTTGTTTGAGGTGCTTTAATTTTAAGACAAATAAAAGTAATAAAACTATTAGACAGGTTAATGCATACACAAATTCAAGTCAATTGATTTGAACAAGTGGATAAGCAGGCTTTGTAATTAAAGAAATATATGATAGTAGTATATTGAAAAGTAATTATGGGAATGAAATTAACTATTTTGTTTCCACATTGGCTAGACTTGTAACATGATGCGGTACATGTATTTGTGTATTTATCTGCAGTACATAGACTCGGATGAGAAATAAGTTCAACATCTTTGAGTGAAGTATCAGCCATACTTTTCAAGGTGGAGATACTATAAAGTATAGGTTAAGTTTCAGGGTTACAATGAAATATTGAAAACAAGATGGAACTCTGAAAGGTTAAAGATAGGCTTGAGTTCTGGTAACGATAGGACAAAAATTCTCACAGAATCCACCAAACTTACACTGAATATTCAAGATTACAAATAAATAACATGTGCCAAATGATTTTGGTAGAAAATTTATATGGGCTGAGTAATGAACATTGAAAGATAAGGAAATCGAGGTAAGTAGCCCGACCAGCCCGACGCCATGTATTTTCAGGTCACTATGTGCACATGAGAGTTGTGGTTTTTATTGAAGACGATTTGCAGCAAGTTATTATGAAGTTGTTTTTATTTTACTGGTTTAAAAAAAAAATCAATCTACTGCAGTATAAACGATCCAGAATGGATTATAGCCATTTTCTCTCGACATAGATGCCCATACCAGAGCTCAAGATTAGCTTTTACCTACCAAAGTCGACATCAAAACAAAAAAAATTGTCTTTCCTCTGATAGTCTACCTCAACCCATTCTCAATGATTTAAGAATGGAAGAGCAATATACATAATACTGGCACATAACTTCTGTTTGGTATGATGTGCATACAAAACGTTTACATCACAATAATGTCTTTTATTAACTATTACTTTTACTTGAATACATGTATTCTCTATTTTTACGTATGTTTACTGAAAATAAAATGTTCTCACAGTTTCCTGACATTTTGATTATTTCTTCGTTTTATGTTTTTTCAGAGGTAGTATATGCAGTATGATCTTGAAACTTGACCATAAACCGGTCAATGTGTGTATGCAGAATGCTCATAGGAGACTAGTTCAGCTACTATGTCCATTTTTACATAATTTGTTCTTCTTCAGTCATTAATTTCCCCTCCCTTAAGCCCCACACAGAGCGCAAAGTCTCCATTAGCTAAATTCAGGATTTTGTTTAGAACCTGAGACAAGTTTTTACAACCATAACAAACCAGGCGCGGATCCAGGGGGCGAGCGGGCCTTGGCCCCCTCCCTGGCCACCAAAAGAAGAAAAAAGACGGGGCATCCCCCCCCAAAAAAAAATATGACCGAAATTTATCTCTCTTTTTTTTGCTCATGGGGGGGGGGGGGGGGGGGGGTGTTGACCGAAATATCGGCGGGCGCGATTTCCAAATTTCCGGGGGCAAAAAAATAAATAATTAGTGCTCACTAACCCCACTAAGAAACCCTGGATCCGCGCCTGTCAGAAACCGTTCAAAATTTAGGTGTTATATGTGAAAAACATTTATTTCTGACTGATCAAGTATGTAAGGTTGCGGTGCAGCCTCCTTCCTGATATAAAATAGGACAAATTAGGTGTTACTTAGATGAGAAACCGACAGAACGACTATTGTCTCGTAATGTGTCCTATCGATAATTGTAATGCTCTTTTCTACAATCTACCTGAAAATCAGCTGAATCGAATCCGAAATTCTGCAGCACGGCTTGTTAACGTGAGATCTCGTTCAAGTGAACATATCTTGCCTATTCTGAAAAACTACACTGGGTTACCTTTCCGCGCTAGAATTGAGTTGAAGATCCTTGTTTTAACCTTTAAGTGCCTCAAAGTATTAGCTCCTACTTATTTAACGGAATTACTTACCCTATATGTTCCAAACAGAATCCTCAGATCTTCCCAAACATCTCTCCTCACCATTCCACAAATATATACAATTCTACGGGTCTCGCTCTTTTCAGGTTGCATTGCCCTTTGCGACCGACCCAAAAATCTTGAAATCTACGGTCGGCATTTTTTTTAACCGTTTTTTTTTTCAAAACTAAAAAATATCAACCCAAGGAGGGAGTAAAAAAAAAAAAATTCCGGCCGACCGACCCATGTTTTGGCACCTATAGGGCAATACAACAGGCCTAATCGCGCGTTGAAACATTTCACACATTTTGGGGTCTAAAATTATCTTGAATAAGAATCATAAATAAGAATAAGAGCAATAACCATGCACTTTGAAGCATTTGCGGTCTGAAACAAGAACTCAACTATCCCTTTTATTTGCACTTGTAATTTTTGTATGAAATTTCATTATTTGATAAATTATTGCATCATATTTCAATATTGTTTTACATATTGTAGGCTATGTACATTAACATGCATTTTTTCTCTTTTCTCTCTCTCTCTCTCTCTCTCTCTCTCTCTCTCTCTCTCTCTCTCTCTCTCTCTCTCTCTCTCTCTCTATTAATCTCCCCGCTCAATCTTACATTGCTCCCCCAACTCTAAGTCAGAAGTACACTCATCCGCACACTTGCTCTTTGTCTTTTTCTTCTCAGTCTCTCTCTCTCTCTCTCTCTCTCTCTCTCTCTCTCTCTCTCTCTGCTTCCACTTCCCCTCGTTTAACCGATCTCTGTATTTCCCCTCGCTCTCTCATATATTTTTCCTCTTCATCTTCTCCACATTCTATTTTTTAAGTTTTAGATTTGAGTTCTTAAGTTTCTTTCTTTATCTCTCTCTTTCATCCTCTCTCTTCTTTCTTCCTCCTCTCTTTCTCTCTTCGTCTATTTTGACCTCCTGGATGGATGAAGAAATAGAAATAAAAATGTAGATAATCGATATACATGTAAAATTAATTTCTGCTTCCACTTCCCCTCGTTTAACCGATCTCTGTATTTTTCCCTCGCTCTCTTATATATTTTTCCTCTTCACCTTCTCCACATTCTATTTTTTAAGTTTTTATTTTTTTAAGTTATTAAGTTTCTTTCTTTATCTCTCTCTTTCTCCCTCTCTCTTCTTTCTCCCTCCCTTCTTTCTCCCTTCCTCTCTTTCTCTCTCCTTCTATTTCGACTTCCTGGATGGATGAAGAAATGCAAATAAAAATGTAAATAATCGATATACATGTAAAATTAAAACAATAGTATGTAAAAAAAAATATAGGCGAACGTGAGAGAAAGAGAAAGAGGAGAAGCCTTAGGGAAGGAGAGAGAAATATTAGAGAGAAAGCTATGAAGTTCAATCTAAAGAGATAGAAAGATAGAGAGGAATCAGACGGAACAATGTCAATATAGACACGGGACATTTCAGCTGATAGATGTCATATTACTTGATTTTATTCAGGGAGAATTAGGCATTGCATGACACTGGATAATATTTCTCATATAAATGCCTTTTAACGAATGAAATTCATTGATTAGCTTTTATCCCACAAATATAGATAGATTTGATGAAGTTAGACGCCCCCCCCCCCCACCCAGCAAGGCCTGGTGCAGTTAACAGATCTACATTGAACGTATGATGTATTGACTCTTTATAGCCCTTCCTTTGTGGGTCGAAAACTACAAAATAATATCATGTCTCCTCAGTAAATACCTCCAATAAGATACAAACAATATTAATGTTAGGTTTCAGTATAATTATAGTCGCATGATATTATGACAGTTTGTATCTCTATTTTCACAAGATTAAAAAAAAGCATAATGGTGACACAACGATTACATTTGTTGGAATTCGAATAGTCATACCCTAGAGCAATATGTATGAGAGATAAGAGATTGTGAACAATGATAATAAACGTAATCAAACAAGTTGTCATCTATTAATGACAAAAAGAAGAATTATGAATTTGAATTGCAATGTCAGATGAAGTTGAGTTACGTCCATTTAGTCCCAGGTGCGTGTGCAAGTGTTTGCTTTGGATCTCCAATAGTGATGCCGCCACGGACCCGGTCCTGTAAGATTAGGAAAATGTTTATTGGTTATCGTGTCACGGCATTCATGTCTCCACTCCATACTCATTGGTAATCGAGAAATTATTCACATCGTAGTGATTCATTGATAACATTATTTAAAATAACCATTTTCCTTTTTTTTTGAAGAAGCATTCATCATTAGGTCTCGAAGTAGGCCTACTTAACATTATTTTGTGATTGTTTTTTTTTTAGTGAAACATTAAGTGTAAATTACACTTCGAGCGAACTGAGTGAGCGAATTGGGAAAGAAAATTCATGCTTTAACGCTCGAAAAAACAAAAGGAATTACTTTCTTAATCATTGTATATGTTTTGGCAAGAGGGGGGGGGGGGGTGTAATTGCTAAAATCCCTCGACATTTATGCCACAGGGGCACTAGCTTCCATACTCCCACCATATGCCCATGCTAGTGGTTCCGACCATGCTTCTCGATCATTTTTTAGTATATAATTTATTGTTTGAAAGAACGTCAATTGAATGATACGAGACACAGTATGCCTGACAGAGTCCAACACACCAACATTACCTACGAATACCAATGGGTCCATGCACAGCGACCATTATGGTTTACACGTGCATGGTTGTCGCACGAGACAATTGCCAGGGCCTATAGAATGTAAACTATTTAACATCTCCCACTTGTTCAATATAAACAAAGAGCAAAATATCATAAAAACTTTATATTTCTTTATCAACTAATCACGAAAAAAATCTAGCAAATTTGTTGGGCCTTATAAAAATAAAACGTACACGGCTTCAAAATGATAACTCCATCAATGAGATTCACATTAAAAACTAGCATCGCCATAATACCAACACAACTTTTGTCTCATTGCAATTTTTTTATTGATTTCTATCGCTCGTGAGTACTTGGAGTCATTACAAGAACATCATGAGTGTCAAAGGTACTATGTCCCATTTGCAGGCCCCCAAAAAATGAAAAGGTTAAATTCCAATGGCATTTGAAAGATAATACTAATTTAGAACTCCCCTTAAAAAAAGGGGGCTTGAAAATGTCTTTAAGTGGGAAAATAACGACTATTAGTTGTCAAGTCGACTTAGGAGCTATAGAGCCAATATAAGTAATATTCTTGATTTTCAGACCATTGTACCGCATGGTCGTACGTTTTATGCTGCGCAAAGATTCAATCAGTTTGATTTTGGCCATTACAAGAAGTGGGTTATTGATGTAGACAAATCTTTTACAGCTCATTTTATGTATGTTATTACCAAAGAAGAAAAAAGCCAGTCAGTCACTCAATACTGACAATAGTGTCTGACAGTGAAGTCTAGCAAGTAAACGGGTTTCCTTGCATAATTTGAATATTAGGACACTGCTAACGTTTAAATTTCACAGATAGGACATACATGATATATTCATAATTCCTGCAAAGTTCTACATAATTTGAGGTTGGCTGCAAAAGGGACATATGTATCTTTAAAACTTACATTATTTAGCCAATTGGGGGCCGCGATGGAGGGAGCCGCAGCCCTGCTGCCCAGTTTTGCATTCATCTGTTGAAAATAATTGAAGACAAAGTCGAAATGTGATACAAATGTGTTTTCACCTTTAAAAAAGAATGATAACTTACAGCAAATGCAAACATTCTCTTTGGTAATTCAATCATTTTTAATCATGCCTTTCACTGACTAAATTTCACGGATGCTATTGGTTTAATTAATGATTTGATGTCATGATATCTTTATACCAGTTGTGAAATCATGGGACAAAATGAGTTGTTACATTAAAGATGACATGTAGTTAAGATGTGGGTCCCGTGACACAAATTGTATGCAATCAATTGCAAAATGGTAATAGCCAATCAAGATCAACGTTGCATGCATTGTTGACCAACAAGGCTGACTACCGACCAATCAGAATCGTTATTTCAAATTTGCAATTGATCTCAAACCTTTGTGCCACGTAGTGGCGGAGGGGTTGGGAGGGGGGGGGGGGGGGGGAGGAGGAGGAGCCCGGCCAAATAAGTTTGGTAGTTTGGTAGTGACGTCGAACGTGCTACGATCGTGCTGGTAGTGGTCCATGCGAGTGAAAATAAGAAAACAGTACTGGAACCATTATGCCTCCCTCCCTGCCGGCTGGATCCGCCCCTAGTGGCACGAGGCCACGACATAGAAAGAAGTCCAAATAAGGGTTGTAAAAAGATTGCTAAATCCAATTGTAGAAAATAACTGAATCACATTGTAATATGCTCTCAATTCATAGCGGACATGGGGAAGTGCCAATCACCATCCTATACACAATTAAATTAAATAGAATTCATTCCGTATATAAGCATGAATGAAAAAGGAATTGTTGTAGTCGATTATGGCTGAACGGGAATAAAGTATCAGAAGTGAGAGTATTAAAATTGCACTGTAAAAACCAGGGTGTAGAAATTCTTACACCAGTATGGTGTTGATTATAAAGGTGTGTTGTCTACGGTGGTGTTATGTTTAACACCGGTCAGATTTAAGCATGCAATAATAATTACTGGGTGGTAAGTAACATTGTGTAGTTTTATGCTCAGTGTTGAAAGTATCATCACGTGATTTCGTTTAAGGCGGTTGATTGGTCGAATAAGTTTTCACAAAGTGTACGCGCGCTTAATGATTACTTTACACGTGTTCACAGAAAAAATACATTTATCACGATTTGTTAAGCAAATTATTACAATTTATTTATTTATTTATTAGTTTTTATTTAGTAGGGTGGCTCCATCAGTAGTTAAATACTGTTTTCCGTGGAGGCCCTACATATCAATTTTGTGATTTGTATTTTCCTTTGACAATTATTGACCAATAGATTTTGTCCGATCTTGTTACAATTACATGAACGTTTTAGCAATAGATATATTGATTATATGATTACTAACCAAGAAACAACATGCATGTTTATTACATATTCGTTTACCAGCCTGTATCACTTAAATGTTAATCTTGAATTTACTTCAAATGATATGTGTGATGGAGTTAATGCAATGGAGATTAGAATTACCTATTGGTGGACAGTTGCCAACATCGATTAGGCCTAGAATAAAAACTTGTTGTATTGCCCTTTGCGACCGACCCAAAAATCTGAAAATCTACGGTCGGCATTTAAAAAAAAAAAAAAAATTAAACCGTTTTTTAGATTTCTTTTTTAAGTTAATGAATACAAATATAATTATGTACATGTATTTTGTTTGTTTAAATGGGATTGAAATGCATAAAATCAAATTATTCCAAAATTCTCACTTGTGTAAACCATGGATAATTATGAGGTGAAAATATCAATGGAATGATGATGCTGAAGCACATGTATTAAAGCATTAAAAACTGAGAAATATCAGCCAAAAGAGGGCGGGAAAAAGAAAAAGAAAATCAAATCTGAAAATATCGGCCCAAAGAGGGCGACAAAAAAAAAATAATCCGACCGACCGACCCATGTTTTGGCACCCAAAGGGCAATACAACAAGTTTTTATTTTGGGCCTTATGAATTATCAGTTTATCACTGGTTCTTCTACCCTGGTCGACAATGGTCGATAATAGGGAATATGGAATGTGGGACCATTAGAAACCCATAGAAAAATACCTAAGGATCAACAAGAATATAAACACCAAAAGTGGAACTGAATTTGTTATGATTCCAGATATTGATGTTAATCTACACCAGTAGGAGTTGTCAAATATTAACACCAAGAGTGGAATTGAATTGTTTAATTCCGAACCCTGGTGTTAAATAACACCAGCTGATACCGGGAAAGTGTTAAAATTAACACCCTTGTTTTTGCAGTGTGTAAAGCGAATAAAATGTTCAGAAATGTCTTCCCTAATTATTATCTCCGAAAGAAATAGGAACAATCAATAAAAGCATTTCGTCGCACATTAAAAACAAATCATTCTTTCACCCAGTCTTATGAATTTATAATGAATTGTGAATTCCAAATGTCATTGCTTACCAGAACCATCTTCATTCACCATGACATCATCATCACTTGTGAGAGCCTCCATGGCCATGCCTAACGCGTTGCCACCTTCATTCTCAGAGTTTACAGCCTGCGCACTCGCCGCGGCTATGAGAGCGACGAGAAGGAGCAGGGCGGTAATGGTCTTCGATGCCATGATGAGCTCAGCTTAAACGAAAGGGAAAATGATTGTAATGAGCTCCAACTGTAAGCCTCACGAATAATTCTTCAAAGTTGTCATTTTCCAGGCTTTGATCATTCTATATGTTTAGAACATGTCATTTTTTTATAGTGAAAAATCACGAAAACCTGACGTAAATGACATTATTCTGTTAAAGATATTTCAATATGTGCTCAAAAGTACAGTCATACGTGTCAACGTGCAAATGTTAAGTATGCTGGGGACACAGGGTTAATGAATAAGGAACTGAAAAGGGTTTTTGACAAAATCAATTGATATGTTTTAGCGATCGTTTGAGCAGAGCCACTCCACGCCTTTAATTTATTCATTATAACCAAAATGAGGGTCTATACGTCATCCCCGGGAGAAAAGTGAATTCAACATTATGTTTCCTCTCGTTTATGTTCATATCCACCCACCTTCTATAGTATTTGACTTTTGACTTGATAACTGATTATGGGTAGGGGGTGGGATATTTGGTTTGATGCTGAAATTTAAGAGGTAAAAATTATGTCAGAGATAAAATTGTCAAATTTAAGTGGGGTCCTAAGAATTTAGATAATGTATGGGTGTTATACACGGTTGGTAATATACATGATTGTGATCACACATTAAGACTTTAAAAAAAAACTACAAGAACCAAAATACCATCACCAGCGACAAAAATATGTTAGAAAACTAAAACAATAAATGAAGTAATAGGGAAGAACTTGTGTGTTGGCGCAGTCAGTAGAGCGTCCGCCTCACAACCGGGAGGTCGTGGGTTCGAACCCCGGCCGCGTCATACCAAAAGACGTTAAAAGACGGGAGTTGCTGCTACCTTGTTTGGCGTTCAACAATAAGGGATAGAGCAACGTTGATCTGGCGCTGCTTAGTGGCTGCCGGGCTCACGATCAATTGGGCAAAAAGAATTTTCATTTCGGTTTAATAAAATTTGGAGTGGACTTAAAAAGATTATTATTATTACATTCACTAGCTTTTGAATTCTTTCCCTTTGCTCAAGCGAGGTCTTTATATCCATAATTTCAAAAGATATTTACTTTAATTACTCATTGATTGAAAAATGATATTGGCTGAATATTTAAGTATATTTAACAATTATTTCAGCTTAGTATTATCTTCTTTGCTAACACATTCAATCTTAGTAACGACTTGACAGGAAAAAAAGCATGCGGGTATAAAATAATATAACCATTGATAATCTTTTTAACGTAACATTTCTGAATTGCATATTGCACACAATCTAAAATTATTCAGGAGAGTATATTTCTTGTTTCCTATGTTCTTACCTATACAACTTATATCATTTGGTTTATTTGTAGTATTGGAATAGCTGGAATATCAAATTACATATTATTTTCCAAAACATAATCACATCCTTGCAATATGACATGAAGTGAAACGTTGAATCAACGTGTCCACAGGTGTTGCATCAATTATATTTTCACAATTTGTCATTTATATAATTTTTCTTCTGAGGCAACAATCCTGTGAATCATCTTGAAATAAAACTGTTTAGTTTTATTATTTCGAATTTGCTTTAAGTTTTTTTCAATGAAAATACATACTTTCAAATAAAGTCATTATTCTTAAAGCTAGAAAGGAATTCTAAAAATAAATGACAATTGGCTCTTTTATTTTTTTCCGTTTTAGCAAACGATAGTAATCTTTCACTTTCATAACAAATACATTTACTTTATGCCCTGTTTCTATTTCTATAAGATTCGAAATATCATATTCATCTTCAAAATCATTGACATCACTTAATCTATCTAACCAACATTGCGGAAATGCTCTCTTTAATTTAGTATATTTGACATCAAATAAATGTTGTGCGTTCACCTTTTTATTAATTAATCTAGAGTCATTTCGAATGCAATATGAAATCAAATTATATATTTTCAATAAACTGACGTCTTGCCATTCTCGATAAAACAATGGATTTTGTTAAAGGTAATGTTACTATTTTTCCAAATAATATCACTTGTAACTTACTTCAAACAGTACAAGTACAAAAAAGATCTACATAAAATCCTGGCAAATAAAGATAAAAGCACAATAAATTCATAACTAAAAATATTTTTCCAACTAGAGCCATCATTCCTAAGTTACATGTTCATGCAGGAACTCAATTCTAAATATTCATTTTGTTGTCGTTTTACATTTGTAGTGTGAAAAAACGTGTTACACTTATTACATACATTTTGAAAAAAGATTTCCCAAATTGTATGCCAGTAAAATAAAAGAGTTTCAGATTTGTCCAAGTCTTTCGGTTACCACAAAATCATCAAACTGATTATTTCTTGTATCAAATTCTTGCTTGCAGATAAGCTCCGAGAGGATCTATAAATATTTTCAAGCGAAATTTTAAAAGTGGGTTGAATGGGAACAAAATGAGGTGAATAGGAACGAAAAGATCCGGCTTTATTATCCCGATCAACATGATCAGTATACCATGTGTATTCTTCTGAAAATTTCAAAAGTGATAAAATTCCCAGATGGAAACACCGTATTGTATTTTTATATCGCAATGTAATGTATGTACGTAGAAAAAATAGCTTACCAATATGGTTAAGATGTGCGACTGATATTAGTTCTCGATCGGAGGAGATGAGAGATCCGACTTGGATGCTGATATTTTTCTTGCTTGGGTGAAGGCTTCGATCTAGCTAGCAGAATGATTTCACGCTCAGCTATATTATAGGCATCATACTATTTTTTTTTCTCGGATTTAATTGTATTCATTCCTACCTGCATAATGAATCGAATTGATCACTCGATATTCATGTCAATCAAAATTCTACAGCTCAAATTTTTGAAAAGAGACAGGAGAAGGGCCATATGTTCTGTTTTGTCAATGCCAAATTTTTCCTAAAGTTATGAATTGTTTATCCACACTAAATGTATTTTGTTTATCCATACTTGTTACAAGCATTCAGTAATCAAATCAAATCAAATGTTTGCTGAGTAAATGGACTTTTAACCAAGTGTGCTCCCCTGTCGACTTTAATAATAATAATAATAATATGGATATTTATATAGCGCCGGTATTCGCCAGGTAGAGCCTCTAAAGCGTTGGGAGCCCCAAAAGTTTGATGGCAAAATTTGACTCCAATTGTATCAAATGTGAAAGAGGATCTAATTTAAGACATATTTCTGCAAGGGTTTTCGAAACAAATGCGTTTAAAGTCGAATATTGATGAAAGAATACAAAATTTAGATTTTCTGCGTACAACAGAAAACCCAAATTATTGTTCTGCTTCTATTAAAGCTAATTTAATATCAGAGTGGACTTCCCCTCCCTGTATTCAATAATGAGCAGAAAAGTATTATCTATTCCTTTTTCCATTAGACCATTTTTCTCTCACATGTCTCAGCAACAATTTGTTTATATTCTCTCAGCAAAATAAACCAACATTTCAAATATATACAGGGTTTTTTTGTTAACAAAACTTTAAAAAGTTACGCAAAACGTTGTTTGAATATAAAGCCAAAATATGACCGAACTGGAATAGTAGAATTGTAAACAGGTTACGTTGGGTTCTTGATTATGTGCATGACAATCAAACCTTTCTGATTATCATAATAATTAAAACACCATATGGAATAGAGTTATAAGCAGGTAACCTTGATTAGTGCACGACAATCAAACCTTTCTGATTATCATAATAATTAAAACACCATATGGAATAGAGTTATAAGCAGGTAACCTTGATTAGTGCACGACAATCAAACCTTTCTGATTATCATAATAATTAAAACACCATATGGAATAGAATCGTAAACAGGTGACATTAGTTTATTGATTATGTGCATAACGATAAAAACTTCATGATTATAATGATAAAAAACACCTTTGTTTAACAAGTTTTTTAGGTGCCCTTCAAAAAAAAAAGATTTGAGATAAATGAGGTAAAAGTAATTATAGTATAATTGTACAGGTTAATGCACAGAGAAATTCAAGTCCATTGAATTGAAAGAGTGAATAGGCAGACTTTGTAAGAAAGGTAATGAGAGTATTATGGAAAGCGTATTATCTAGGTACTCTGAAATGCAAAGACTCTCCGGAGTCATACATTTTGCACAATAGAAATTTTAGTAATTTTTTGTAAAAAATGTTGGACACCAGAGGTGGATCCAGGGGGGGGGGGGGGGGGGGGGGGGGGGTGAGCGAATTATCGGCCGGCGCGAATTTCGAATTTTCGGGAGCAAAATAAAAATAAATAAGTGCTCACTACCCCCCCCCCTCCCCCCTCCCCTCCCACTATGCGAATTATCGGCCGGCTGTTTCGCCGCTAAATAATTTCTCACGAATTGGGCCCCCTCCCCTGCCGCCGGCTGGATCCGCCCCTGTTGGACACTGCATCACATTGACATTACCAATTCAGCCAGTCACGTGAAGGACCCAAACGTACACACAATCGAAGAACCCTGAACAGTATTATTGTTAACTTTTTTCCCCATTCCACAGGGAACCTTTATCAAATAATATCGTTCACATAATTAGTATTGATAATGGTTCACTCAAAGACGTTGAGTTCATTGCTAATCTGTGCACAGCAGATACATACATAATTATGCACATAATACCGCGTCATTTTACAAGACTAGTAAATGTGGAAAGTAGCAAATTTCATTTATACCAAGATTTACGTTCAAAAACACTTTTCAATATAATATATTTTGATATGGTACACTTTGGAGACAAAACATGAATTAACATGTTTGTACACAGAGATTGGTCCATGATGGTAACTACGTTACAATCCATGAATTGGACTGAATTGCCAATTGAACTCCCCCTCAATTATTTTTAAATTGTTTAAAAAAAAAATATTTAAAAAAAATGTGCTGAAGGAGGCAAAAACAAACAAAAGTGTTCCCCCCCCCCATCCACTAAACGAAATATCTGACGACGAAATTTTCCAATTTCCGGGGTCCCCCCCAAAAAGAAAAAAAAGTGTTCCTAACCCCCCCCCCCCCCTCCCCCCCCCAAACCACATAACGAAATATCTGACGACGTAATTTTCCAATTTCCGGGGCCAAAACAAAAAAAATAAAATGTGCTCCCCTCCCCCCCCCCCCCCCCAAAAAAAAAAACAAAAAACAACCTCCTTTGTGAATTCGGGCCTAAGAGTTTATTATTTACAATTTCATCACTTTAGACTCGATTTCAACCGAGACAACGATCACTGAATATTGTAGAATCGCATATGCTTCCAATATGTTCATCTGAACCAAATTCATGACCCCATACCAACACTTGGTATCACCTATAAGTCTAAACTCACTTTCCATTTTGTTGGCCTACTCAATCTCACATGCTCATTTCAAATACATGTACTGAATCCTTCTCTCAGAAAGCATCAGTCCAGCCTCTGTACCGTTTTCGTTCAGCGCACCCAATCAGCTGATAAAATAACACACCCTCAACGTTGAAAGTAGACCTAGCCATTCCTTTAAGTCTGGACCTCGAATAGTGTGGACGGAAATTTGGGGATTGCGCGACCAGTGGAGAGACCGCGCTCTGTATGGGGGATAAAGAGAACGAACGGACTGAATCTGGACTAAGAAAGCATACGTTCAGAGCCAGCAGGGCGTTCATTCTGTGTTAAGTATCAATACATTATACATGCACATGCACCTTTCTGGTTTCAAACAATATTTTTTAAACATACTGTACGTTTAAAAACGATTATCGCTCTACACAATCATGGATTGTATGTACTAATTTCAATCATGTTTTCTCCCGATGGATTGATTATACTCCTTAGCATATAAAACAAGCTACAATAAAAACACCGTTTGGAATAGTATAAATGTAAACGGGTTACGTGGGGTTCTTGAATCTTGATTATGTGCAAGACAATCGAACCTTTCTGATTATCATAATAATTAAAACACCATATGGAATAGAGTGGTTTGGAGCAAGAAAGGTACATGTACATTACATATTTGTGGAAGACCAAACTCTCAGAATATCATGCTCATTTCAAATCCTTCACTCAGTATACATCATATCGAGGGTTCAGTGACACAAAGACGTAACTTTATAATATTTTGCCCCCAAAATCATATTTGATAACAAAATGTTCAGAAAAAACAAAGCCTCAACTCCACCCAACACCCCCATTGAAGTCAATGGCTAGTGAAACAGACTTAACTCCGGCCCAAATGCACATGAACCAATTTTTTTTTCTTCTCAAAATGGCCAAAATGGAGTTAAGTCTTTGTGTCACTAACCCCTCCATGTGTTCAGAGGCTCTGTGTTCAAGTACGAGTTCATACCTTACTTGCTTCAAACCGATAACATTTCACTTCTCACAATCTCACACATCCACAACAGGCAAAAGACAAAAAATTCACAATCTTTTTAAATATATATAACTGTTGAAACCTCTTTAATGCTGTAATATTCGAAAAAATGGTATGTACATCAGACTGCTAGCTTAATATTTACAATTTTGTAAGCTTGTTATTACAGCATTGAAAAAGAATGATAAAAGAAGTAAGACAGTGGCAGAAAATTTAATAATGCAAAGTAAAGATGGCTAGAGTTATGTGATGTCGGAAAGGCTACTACATTGAAAATTTATATTGTGGCAATTTAACAAAAATTGATGTTTCCCACACGAGGATTAGCTCCCTTTATCATCTATAATTTATTGATTGCATGACGATTAAGAGAAACAATCTGAGATTTACCAATAAATACAAACGTTAGCCAATGTGGAAAGTGGAAAAAGATGAATTTGTGCTCTCAATTTAAACCAATGCATAATTTACAAATTAAAAGGGCAGTGCAAAGCTGGCATTAGAAACGAGGCAAAAAGCAATGTGCTAGAGTTCTCTTTCGTTACATACGATATATATCTATTACAAAATAAAAATATTATAAAATAGAGAAGAAAGGACAGTATTCTTTGAACAGAAAAGATATGGTGAACAAATCCTAAAATAATGTCCATTTTAAAATGCCACCAAGATTTCATTATTTTCTAAACAGATAACTGACAGGGTAGAAAATCACTGGAAACTTGATAATAAAAATCATATGCGATGATTTGCTTTCAATAGAATAATAAATGAGCAGAAGCATAAGCAGAAGCATAAGCAGTATGATTTGTTTCTAATGAATACCGAATATACAACATGCAACTCAACCAAAAGAGCACCACTGCTGGTTATTGCCTAGAAAGTTGAATTTTACAGACATGTATATGGCATGAAATTAAAAGAGAAAAGATCCACAAGAACAGCTGCTAAAAACAGAGGTCTACATAATAAAAACACTTTTTTTTTGTACAAAATATTACATTAAAAAATTCCCCCTCAATAAATTATGGGCTCAAGATACAAAACTTTTGCAATTTTTTTCGTCAGGATGAAAATTCTTTACCGGGTACACATCCTTGGTCCATAGACTCCCCATATAAAGAAGACTTCATGATATTCTAATCAGATCACACACAAATATGAGCATATATTCTGGTTATCATATCTGGAAATAGACGGAACGATGTACACTCGAGGTAGTCTCATTGCACGAATTTGGAACCGGCCAAATCCAAGCGGACAATCAAATTTCAAGTGGGCTGCAAAGGCACTTGGGGAAGGCTAATGTTCAGAGGCACTCCGAGGAAGGCTAATGTTCAAAGGCACTCCGGGAAGGCTAATGTTCAAAGGCACTCCAAGGATAATGTTCAAAGGCACTCGCATCTGATTGGTTTACAGAATATATCAAAGTTTTGTGCTTTTAGTTGAACTTTTAGTCTATAAATATTAAAAATCTATCAGTCTCCTTTAAAATGTGTCTATTCACGTCACCATATAAATATTGTGAACCGACAGAATCCCAATTAAAATCAAATACAGAGTAGTTTATAACATCTCCCTGCTCTAGATGAGTCGTAACCATTTTAAATCCTAGAATGGGAAATCCCGAACTCGCTTCTTGGCTACCAACCAACCAGTCTAGAACATGGCCAATTTGAATGGGTGAACAGCTGAGCTAAAGCATTGAGTCGTTGCTCAGTGATAATGCCTTCAAACCAAGCGATTGAGAAGTGTCCGCTTTCAGTGTCCGGATTAAGCTCTGGATGATCTCTTTCAGTGTCTGGATTAAGCTCTGGATGATCTCTTTAGAAGTCTTCTTCCAAGCTGAAGGTATGTTGTTTCTTCGTTGATGAGTTTGTTGAGCTCATGACGCCCATCTTCTGGTATTCACCAACCCTCTTCTCAAAGAAGTTTGTCTTTCCTTCCAATGAGATGTTTTCCATGAAGTCAAATGGGTTCTCTACCTTCCAGATCTGTACAAATAAAGAATCAAACGTCGGAACATTAATAAGTCAGTGAGAAAATTGTACTTGGAGTTATCTTATAGTTGCAATGGCATGGTAATGGTATTGACATTTCTTTTCGAGAAGGGGTCGGGGGGGGGGGGGGGGATGGCGATTACCATGTTTCTCTGATTAGGTTGTTACGTTAGAATTAGACCATCACAATTAGAATAGAGCAATTTCAACGAAGCCTCACCTGACATTTACATGTACACAACTTAACTTGCTCTGGGCTTTTTCAAAGAAACGATTTATGCCACATGTTTGTGTAGTCTCATATACATCTTTCTGTGTACAGTGCTTGTTACTTTACCAAGACTCGGTCAAATTTATTATGATTTTGATGATTCCAGAACCTTGCAGTAACACACCAATAATATGCTAGATGATCAACCTTTTCTGATCGATTCCACACCGTTTCTTTCACTATGCCATCACATGACCAGAACCCAACTTTATCTTTAAAAGTATTCGGGAGGATATACTTTGAGTGAAGGACATTATATAATTAAATACAGAAGTAATGTCCCCCTGGCTGGCTGGCTCTCAATACATGAAAAACCACAAAATCTCACCTTGCCACATCCGAGCTCGACCAGCAACCTGTCTGCGACAAACTCGATGTACCTCTTCATGAGTACAGCATTCATGCCGATGAGAGAGCATGGTAGAGCGTCCGTGAGGAACTCCTGCTCGATGGCCACAGCCTCCTTGATGATCCCCTGGACGTGCTCCTCGTCTGGTTTGTTGTTGAGATGCTTAAACATGAGACAGGCGAAGTCACAGTGAAGACCCTGAAAAGAGAAGGGAGAAAACAGACCTTAGAACAGAGGCAGGGATGATAGTGAGCACTAGAAAAAAAAAAAAAAAAAAAAAAACTAGATGGAACTTCGACTGCGCGCAGTCGAAAATGATGCCTCCGTCATAGAGCAAGTTTACAAACCAAAACAGAAGAAATTTTTCAAATTCAAGTTTCGTTATCCATTAACAGGTTCTCAGAATATCGTGGTTACAAGCAATTTCTCATATGACCTTTTGATCTTTGACCTCATGACCCTAAAATCTACTCAGTTCATTGGCTCTGCAAGATGGCCCGAGTTAAATAGTAATCCATCTGTCAGTTCTAATGAGAAAGCGTTCACAAGCTATTTTGGCATACATAATGAGCCCATGACATTTGACCTTGACCTCATGACCCCAAAATCTAATCAGTTCATCTGCTCTGCAAGTAACATACATGACCTAAGTTTGGCAGGAATCCATCAATCTGTTCTAATGATAATGCGATCACGAGCTGTTTTTGCATACATAATGAGCCCTGTGACCTTTGACCTCGTGACCCCAAAATCTAATCAGTTCATCAGCTCTGCAAGATACATGCATGACCAAAGTTTGGCAGGAATCCATCGATCGGTTCTTCAGATAACGCGATCACGAGAACGGGACGTATGGACGGACGGACAACCCGAAAACATAATGCCTCCGGCTACTTCGTAACGGAGGCATAAAAATTCCCTCAACCATCCCTCCCCTTGAGTAAAAAAACAGAAAACAAGATTCGGGGAAAAAGAAAAGGCATTTAACAACCCCCCCCCCCCCCCCCTTTTGACTAAGTAAATTGGGAAGGGAAAAATCAAAACAAAAATTTGGTAATTATCAGGCCTGCAGAGGTGACCTTTATGATGCCTGTGTATTGCAGGGGTGATAGATAGTGAGCCTTAAAAAACAATCTGCAGAAATTCAGGAAAGATAGGGAAAATTGGAAAGAAAAAAAAAATCGGGGAAAATAAATAAATCAGGAAACAGATTTAAATAGGGTAACTAACAGGCCTGGTATTGAGATTAGAGAAACTGAACTGAAACTTGAAAGTGAATATTTATTTACCTCGTCTCTGCTGATGAGTTCATTGGAGAAGGTAAGACCGGGCATGAGTCCTCGCTTCTTGAGCCAGAAGATTGCGGCGAAAGAGCCTGAGAAGAAGATGCCCTCCACTGCTGCAAAGGCGACAATCCTCGTCCCAAAGTCAGCGCTGTCACTGCCGATCCAGTTCAAAGCCCACTGTGCTTTCTTGGTTACGCATGGCAACGTCTCAACTGCGTTGAACAGGAAGTCCCTGTAGTGAACAAAATTTGAAAAGGAAATCATGAATGTGGGGTTTGGTCGAGAGGAATAATGTAATGGAATTCTCTCATGAAATGTAATTAAAAATCTTGTTTAAACTGTGCCTACATAATATTTAAAGGGGAGTGTAGCTTGGCAAATACAGGTTGATCCCATCTCTTCTTTTGGACAACTGCACATTAACGAAGGGACTTGACTGACAGTAGTCAGTGACTTAATCTCTACACGGTCAGTGTGAGCGAAACAGACTGAAGTTCTCTGCAGTCTCACTCCCTTTAAATACAGTCAAACCTGATTTAGTGAAGACTTGTCTACAAAGACCACAATTGTTTTCCTTGAAACATTTACTAAAGGAACCCTTCTACAAAGACCACTTTGTGTTTCCCTTAGGCGGTCGCGATAGACAGGATCTTGACTGTACTTCTAACAATTCCATTAGTCTTTGTTTTTTTAAAGTGAGATTTACTCTTCCTTTCAGAAGCTGATTGATTTCAGCTTAATCACATAATCTCTTCGTAAAGCTGGTTTATTTACAAAAAGAGATTCTTAGTTAACCTTCAGTAATATTACCCAATTATGTCATAATGAGAAAAGCAGGTCCGTTTTACCTTAAGGCTGGCTGTACTAGTTCAGCCAGAAGGGATTATACCACACAGCAAGGTCACTGACAGGTGGCCATCTCATACAGGCAACGATTGGGGAAGTTTTCTATATAGAGGGAGCATGTACAAGTACAAGTAGTACAGTGTGGCTTTACGATAGATCTGAATAATTCCTACCTTTGGACTGAATCTTTGATGTATGTATCGATGAGTAGTGAATACATTTCTGAGTGGATGTTCTCAATGGCGATCTGGAACCCATAGAAACACCTGGCTTCTGCTACCTGGACTTCTTGGCTGAACCTCTCAACCTGAACAATTAGAAGAAAATAAACACAAGTTGAGAAAGACATCACTATCAACCAGGAATGCCAGTTAGAATTGATCAGAGGGCCTGAAAATCACCTAGAATGAGCTATCTTGTGCATAAAAAGGCTATGGTCTGAAAATAACTCGCCAGGGCCTGAATCAATCAATTGCGACATTAGTGCACTGTGCAATTTTAACCTTGTCGAAATTTGAGGTTAAAAATCCTAAATCTACCATTGAGCCTTTATTAAATCATTATGTGTTAATGAGTATGAGATGCCGCCAAGCATCAAGTCTCTGGAATATACAACAAGGATACAATTCTACATCTTACACTTATAAAGACTGTTGGTTGTCACATACTTAAATTAGCATATTTGATTTCCTTAAAGTTTATAGGAGGGATAAGACCACACCGCAAGGCCACTGGACAGGTGGCTATCTCATCAACTCAACTCCCAATTAACATAGGAAAAGATATGGGGGACCAATGGTCACCGATTAGGCATTGTTTGCTATGTAGAGGGAGCAAGTAGCTAAAGTAGGACAGTGTGGCTTTAACAGTAAAATTCATACCAATTTAGAATGAATGACGAGGTCAAGAAAAAGACCAGTCATCAAGAGGATAAGGACATTAGAAATGACCCTCACTTACCAAGTTCTCATTGACGATGCCATCGCTGGCTGCAAAGAAAGCAAGAACATGCGAGATGAAGTGTCTCTCTTCGTCCTTAAGATTGGCCCAGTGGTCAAGGTCCTTGGACAGGTCAACCTCCTCAGCGGTCCAGAAGGAAGCCTCGGCCTTCTTGTAGAACTGCCAGATGTCGTGGTACTGGATGGGGAAGATGACGAAGCGACGAGCGTTCTCCCGCAGAAGAGGCTCATCCTCTTTGTTCTGGAATTTTGATGGGAGGAAAATGAAAGAAAATTAATTATTTACCACCAAGGACAAACATATGAAATATCACAGAAAAGCCAGTTATTTTAGCCTTGTTCTGAAAGGTATAGTACTATAGACCAGTTTTGGAAATGCCCCCCTCTCAAAAAATGAAATGAAAGCTCCTATTACCAATCATGTGAAAGAATGTTTTAACTAATACGCGATACAAATTTTGCCAGGAAACCGCCCACTAATTGATAGATTTGGTAAATTATATCGATCCGGCCTGGATAGATATCGCAAATGCACTTCCAACATTGAACATTTGGGCATATATTTCTGCTTTTTGGCAAATTTACGTTGGCAAATTTATGTTGAAGTATTGCCATCTAAACCTCTGAAGGCAATACTGAATCGATATTTTACACCCAGAAACCTTGAACCGCAATTGTCAGAAACTCAATAACTGTTTTTAGGGTGGATAAAAATTGATCCCTGTTTAATATGGATACAAGAAAATGAAACGAGTATAAGTTGACCTCTGACCTTGTTGATAAAAATCATATAAATTTTATGAAACTTATAGCAGAATAGTAGTAGGGTGTCTGATCGCGCACCCGATGTTGTGTGCTAAAATTCTTCCCATAGAGATTACACGCATCCCTATGCAGCCTACGTGCATTGCGCGACCATGCAAAAAAAGTCAATTTTTTTTTTCAAATCGAGATTCAAACCTTTATCAGTTGTGATCCTGAAGGTGATAATCAATGAATGAGGTGTCATATGAAAGAGCAGGTGAATTCCAATATTTCCAAAGGGGCGTAGCCCCCGAAATTCTAAAAATATCTTGGTCAAAACAGCAATTTAAACATTGTGTCCTGGCTAACTCTGAGGTTTGTCACTTTTGAGATATGACGCCCCGATCGATAAGTAGTCCCAGTCCTAAGGAACAATTCTATGTGATTATATTTTCGCTAGCCCCCAGGGATCACAACTGATAACAGTTTAAAAATACCCTTCTCGCTATTTGGTGGATCAGCTAATTAGGGGGCGTGCGCTCCGCTCAGTCCAAACCATGGTTACATCGCGTAACATCTCCGCGCACGAACGAAACCCCAAATTCAATTACACATTATAGTGACTGAAATTATGGTTGGAAATTCCCTCGATAAACCCGGAAGTGAATACACGTTATAGTCAATGGCAATATCGCGGAGACAACGTGCGTTGTCTCCGCGATATTGCCATTGACTATAACGTGCATTCACTTCCGGGTTTATTGTGCGACGATTGCCAACCATACTAGTCAATCGCACATGTCGCGGAGACAGCGTAGCTCAAGCTGCAAGTCGCGGATTGGCTTAGCAGCATGCGTACGATATGCATACGCTTGCATATCGCGCGATACAGCTGTTTGGCTAAATTTAGCAAAACAACATCACTCTGCGTGGACGTCTTTTTCGACGATTTTGACCAAAATGATATGAATATACCAGCGTGTTGGAGGGGCTGTAACTTTTGATAGAAACATCGGTGAGACTTGAAATTTGAAATGTATTATTCTGATAACATTTTTTATTCAAATATCAAACAAAAATGGTGAAAAACGATCCCAAATTGAAATTTGAAAAATCGTTCAGACACCCTAATAGTAGATAAATATTAAAAAAAAACAGTTTATCACATCAAAGACAATGGCACGTCCCCACCCCCATCCCCCTAAAAACAAAGAACTTATACTTACAAAAGACACAACTTTCTTTCCACTGTTCTCAGGTTTGACAAGCTTTGACTGAAAAAACAAACACATCAAATTATATAATCAATCGAACAAATTACAATTCATATGATTCAGAACACACAAAGTAGCAATTATTTTGTGCCATTTAGATTTAGTCTATGAATATGATCTGTCTGTTTGGAGCACAAATATTTTTTAAATTTTTTTTTAACTAGTCTAGGTACAGAAAAGGATTTCAGGTAACATGGGAGATGTGATCATAAATTTTGCCAGAGTAGCAACTTGCCAATTTACATTTGATTGTTAACAAATGTTTTAAAATAAATAGCTCAATTAATGCTTCAGTCTAGTCCCTAGACTAGACCCCCTACTTAAAGTTAAAAGCCTTAAGCATTAAGTGTTAAGATTTGTACAGATGTTATCCAACCTTTAACTTTAACCATTAAAAATATATAGGCCTAATGTTAAAAAAAGTTTGGGGAATGTTACCTTTGCATGTTCCTTCAGCTTCTGCGAGTAGGGAATTTCTTCTTGTGGTAAATTCTGGAGAAGAAATCAAAAGTATTGAAATGTTAAAAATATTCGAAGAAAAAGTAAAACACACGCACAAAAGAAAAAAATAGGGGCCTAGGTCTACCGGTAAGTGATTGCAAATGAGTTTTTGAGTGTCACATCCAATAATGAAAAAGTAGTTAAACAAAAATACAGACTTTGTGACTTAGTAAATTTAGATCTAGGCCTAGACCCTAGATCTAGTTAGAGAATCTGTTCCATGATTCACCATTGATTGAATCAGAATATTTTTCTTCTGATTAATCACGAGGCAAAAAGTTGTTCTCCATAAAAATTTGACTTCGAAATCAAATAGCCTACAAAATAATACATGGAACCATTCAGGAATAAAAGGAAAGAAAGAACAAAGAAAACCGAAAGACAAACAAAAATTGTTATGTCACAACGTCAACGAGCGCGCGGAAATCCGTTGGGTCAGTTGGCTTGTGTAAGACCCCCAACGGTCGGGCCAGCCGTTGACTTGCGTAAGCATCAACGCTGTACGCACAATGCAACAGATGATGTAACGTCGAGAAACAAAGGACAATAGAAATTGCATTTGGAAGACAAGTTTCAGGCTTTGGAGTTTGGAAAGCTTCTTACCTGGACTTCTCCGAGGATAGCTCTTGGCTTGAGTGTTTTCTTGGTGAACACATCCTGTCGAGAAAAGAAAAGACAAGATATGAATCATGATTGACAAATTTAGACTCGGGCCGTCGCGTCGACTTCCGTCAGCAGATTTTCCAAACGCGGGAAAATTTATCGTTTGATTAGCCTAGCCCTAAATAATCATAATGCCACGACAAACATGAACAATTGTCACTGTTGACAATTCGATATTTTTACCATTTGATTAAACGAAACCATCCATATTTTAAAACAATTAGGCATGATACACTTTATATCGACACAAATCTATCAATTTAGACAAGTTTTACTTTTAGGAAGGTGATTTTGAATTTGATTAGAATTGGACCAACTTGCATGCAAAGTTGGGCGGTCAGGGCGTGAATTTCGAGGTATGAAAATCGCAGTGGTCTATACTAGTTGAAATCTATTATATAGGCCTACACAAATCTTTAAAAAGTAAGAAAAAATCAACTGTAGGGGCCTAGACTTTGGAAAGAAAAGCATTCGCCACGTCAACTTACCTCATTTTCTTTGTCGTCAATCGCAGAATTTTGCATCTTTGTGGTCAAGTTCTTCATGTTGTTGGTGGTGTTTGGAGAGTGAGCAGAAAGCATGATGATAGCAGATTTAGACAAACTAGTGAAGAATATTAAAATTATCAGGTAAACTTCAAAACTTTTGACTAAAAACTGAAGGGACTGGTTGTTGGGAGAAGGAGCGAGGTTGAGGGACGTCCTACCAGTTGCGGGGTGAAGCGAGGAATACTAAAGAGCGCGAGATTTTCTGATCAAATTTAGCGCCCTGAAAAATATATGAATATTTATAAGACAGTATGCTTCTGATTGGCCGGTGGACCGTGGCATACGCTGAGGCATGCGCTGAGGTCACCTAATGTCCCTGTGATTGGTCACTGTATCGCCTTTCTTTCCAGGTCAACAATAAAGAGATTCGTGTCCAATTTTGTGTAGTACCTAATATCAATGTTTGAACGATTAAAAGAAATCTATTACAGATTAATTTGGTTTATAAATAACTATTTTCAAATTAAATAATAATGAATACATTTATTAAAATAAATAAATTGTTAAAACTACATAATATTGTAACAAATGTAACTATTTTTGCTATCAGCAACTATCATTTCAGAAATGCGGGTAACTCAAAATGCGAAAGATTCGCACACTATAGTGCACACACAATGGGCGTCTACTTTATACGTGTTGTCGCGAGGTAGAAAATTATGCAAGAACATTCTACGCATGCGTTGAATGCATATCAGCTGATTACATTCATTCATTCAGTCCGTCCAGCTGTGTCGTTGGTTTGTTTTCGTTTTGCCGTTGGGGGGACCGGGAAGAACCGAGTCTTTGTGCCATTATGACATGTTCGATGTATTATGAGCCTTATTTATATTTATGATATGATACATTTCTTTCTGTTAATTAAAGACGTGGCTGTTCAGAGGGACATAGATAATTTAGTACCAATGTCTTGAAAATCGTTAATTAATCCATTTAGTGGGACTTGAAAAGCAAGATTCGAGTCTTTGCTTTGTTCCGAATGGACACATTTCGACGTTGTAAGACACAGATTTGGCGGGAAATGGTGATAAATGGTGATATAACTTTTAACGGAATTTTCAGCTTTTAGAAGTTTGGAAATTATAACATCACATGAGCTTCATCATTTGAGCGACATCATTTGAGCTACATCATTTGAGCTACAATTTTGAGCTACATCATTTGTGTCTATAGAGGAAATTAAAGGAATACCTAATACTTGACAGTCAGAGAAGAGAAGTGAATGACATGTTATATGATTGAAATTTGTATTCTTCTGCCGGTTCATACTTTTTATATTTTGTATATACATATATATGTTTTCATACGTTATAGAAATTCTACAAATTCATTATTATTTTCCTCTTCTTCCTCCTCCTCTTTTTCTTCTTCTCCTTCTTCTTCTTCTTCTTCTTCTTGTACTTATTATCATTTCTATCATCAGTTTAATGTTATTATTATTATTATTATTATTATCTTTAATAAGTAATTCTTTTAATTTTCGAATCTGTCTGTAAATATTACTATTTTAACTTATTAATGTTATACATGTCTGTAAGGGACCCCACTGGAAATAAGCTCTCGAGCTTTCGTGGGTTATCCTGTTCAAGCTGATTTAATTTTGATCTGTTATTATTGTATATTGTTGTATGTTGGAAGCTTGTCGAATAAAAATCAATCAATCAATCAATCAGTCTGTTTGGAGTGGAGGAGGAGGAGGAGGATGATCGTGATGATCAAGCCCGTAGCCAGAGTTTGATGTTTGGGGGGGGGGGGGGGGGGCACATACATGTAATCGATCGAGGTAAAAAAAAAAAAATGGGTCTTAAAAAGTTCAACCGATCTTGGAATTTTTTGGCTACGTGCCTGGTGATGATTAGGCATGCCAAATGCCTGTACGTTGTAGACGATGTAATTCACGAGGATGACAAATTCCCTTTCGAAAGGGGGGGGGGGCACTACGGCAGTCTGCTAAAAAACAAAACATGACAAGCTAAAATAAAAGGGGAAAAAAAGCACAGAAGAACAATAATATATATAATTAAGAAAGATCACTGATTTCCTGAAGTACATTCAAAGTCGCCTGGTGCGGGGGCACCATCATAATTATAGACGAATTAGTATTAGAGTAGAAACTTTTAATTCATCTTCTTTGCTTTAATAATATAAGCCTACTACAGTATGCCACGATTTTCCCGTGTAGCTATCAATATAGGAGTTCAAAGAGTAGATGGTGATGATGCCAATATGGCGTATGAGGAGGAGGAGCCGAGGAGGAGGGGCTTCAGAGAAACCGTTCGTGTGCACAATAATATTCCGAGGGGAGCAATGGATCGGTTTACTAGCATATTCAAATGTTATGCATTCACAGCCTGCATGCAGGCTTTAATTCCAGACATAGCAATAAAATGTATGCAGACTGGATTCCAAATATTGTATTCATTAATTAATTACAGGTTAATGGAATACCTCGTCACTATAATTGGTCCCCATGCAGGAATAAACATCCCGACTTTGAATATGTTAGTAAACCGGTCGACGTGCACCCGAGATCCCCCCCCCCCCAACCCCGCACCCTTCCCTGATCCAGTATTTTAAGCATTACATATAAAATTTCTATCTAAATAATATTAATGAAGGGTGAAATTTTGTTACATCACTACCACCAACGGATATCGATTACCGTATAGCCTGCCTAGTTCATTGATCCGGGTTTATGAATAGCCTGTAATACACGCAAGTGCTCTATGTGATCTACTTTGGCACAGAAATGAACTACTGAACCCCGATGAAATCTCATTTCATTTTACTCGGCAGCATGAGAACAACTGGGGGCGTTTCACAAAACTTGTCATCAGTGAAAAATGACAGGTTTTGTTATAAGCTACTGAAATCCTTGCTTCTGATTGGTTATCAGCAGATTTGTCACTGATTTGTGTCATTTGTCATTGAAAAAAGGCTTTGAGGAACGGGCCCATGCATGCAGGAGTGAGAAGGTACACAAACATAACATAACATTTAATACTGAACAGATACACGTATAATATAGATAGCCTGTTTAATGTGGAAGTGAGCAGAAGAAAAAAAATCACTTATGACTAGGCTGATCCAAAAAGGTTCGAATATAATATTTGGAAAATTGTACATGGCTATACACATTAATGGATTTTTGTGATAGTTTTATATTATGTACTATGCATGTAGACAACCATTAGCGATGTTATAGTGTTGACTACTTATTCCAACCTGGCTAAAATGAAAATAGGCACTGAATTTTCGTATTGCAACCAAAATGTATGCATACATTAATAACTTTGTCAGTTTGTGAAGCGTCTCGATATACGAATTATTTCATTCACCTGCTGTGAATAATAATATTCCAATAGTCAGGATGCGAATTGCATATTATTGTTGCTTGAAATAGGACAAAGGTTATGGCTTGCCCTACCTTACAACACGTATAATATATGCCATTAACATTCTGACTATTGAAGTACCATTATTCGCAACAGGTGTATGAAATACATTGTAATTCGTATTGAGGCACTGATATACATTATTTTGGTTACATTACGAAAATGGGGTCCGCTCGCTATTCATAAGGACCGCTATTCACAAAGACCGCTATTCATAAGAACAGCTGCTATTCATAGTCGAATTAGAGGGTCACTATTCATAATACAAAATTGGGGTCGTTATTCAGAAGGTCGCTAATCATAATACGAGAAGTATTATGCGTATTATGAATAGCGAGTTTAGCGACCCTCATTCCGTATTATGAATAGCGAGTTTAGCGACCCCCATTTCGTGTTATGAATAGTGGTCCTCATGAGTCGTGACCCTCAATGTGAATTATAAATAGCTACCCTCATCCCACGTGTGTGTTATGAACGTTATGAATAGCGGTCCTTATGAATAACGGTCCTTATGCCTTTATGAATATTGACCCACTTTCCATTTTATGAATAGCGGTCCTCCACGTATAGGAAGTTACGCGTTATGAATAGCCGTCCTTATGAATAGCGGTCCTTACAAATAGTGAGGTTACCCCACGAAAATATCCTATTAACTTCAGCTAACTAAAAAATGGCCAATGCTCACGAGCCCTATAAGGTTCAACCTTCTTTCCCCCCTTTTCCCCCTCTTTTAACGGAGGCTTTTATTTCCATAATTTCAATACAAAGTCATATTTACATTATTACTCAATGATTGAGTGAAACATAACATAGGCTAAAAATTAAAGAATATTCAACAATCCTTCAAGCTCAGGATTATTTTCTGTGCTAACACATTCATATCTTAAAAATAATCTTAGCAACGACTTGAATAAAAAAAAAGGATGTGGGTAATAAACAGAACCATTTAAAGGTTCAACCTTTTTTTTTATATACATGTAGGGCCTAAGTGTTGCTTGGTATATAGGCATAATAAAGACGACAGCCTATATTTTTCTACTATTTAAAAAAAAATCTAAGGAACCTTGCTTACTATAGAAAATGTCGAAGTTAAGTCGTTCTATTTATCATTATTGTATGAGTCGAGTTTCTTCAGAAGTTCAGCCTAAGCATATATATGCCCTACTGTAGTACATACATTATACATGCCCTCTGCCACTGAGGAATGCTGGACAAAGGTCAACTATTCTTCGTTCTTCCGTCGCCTGCACAGGGGCGTGGCGTATTAAATCGTGCTTTGTCACGTTAGAATGCCAAGTTCGCGCGCTTTCTTTTGTTTTATTCTAGTGGCGGGAATGTTTACGACTTCCTCGTTGATATTACATAATAGAAGAAGAGATTCTACGCTTTAAAGGGACACACAATATGCTGATGTATCCTAACCTATACACCTATAGGCTTACTCAAAATGCTCTCTACCCAGAGACTGTAACGTTCTTATATGCATAATTATGCGCACTATAATTACAGATCTACAAGTTATACGTTGCCTATAAAGTTGGAATAATTTTCTCTTAGTCTTTCATGAAATGATTGTGTCATTAATTATTGATATATAAAATTATAAATGTCCTCAGAATTTTACTGATCAATTAAGTTCTCAGAAGCTAAAAACTGTATGTAGGCTAATATTTATAGGCAACAACGTATACAGGCCTATAGGCTAAACGATATGTTAACAGGCCAGAGATCCTCTCTAATAACATTCCAACTTATTTTTTTGAAATCGAATTTTAGTTGAATTTTCTCC